TCATGTCTTGGTTGGAGAGGAGGAGGGCAGATGTTTTGGCTCCACTTTTTGAAGCCGAATCCTGCGCATTTGGCTAGGCGCGGTGCGTACGGCTCACTGCGCTGGCATGTAAGGGGAGAAAAGCAGCTTTTCGACTGTGCGAGGCTTCCCACGTTCGGTTCGGCTGGCTGGGATCTGGGTGGTTCTCGCATTAGACAAGATACTCCCCGCTGACACTAGAAGGTTTCCAATCATTGCATTCCGTATCACATCCGGGTGTTCAGCAGCTGGCCCCGAGGTCCCGGGGCTGGCACAGCAGAGCCGGTCACGGCGCAGGCCAGGTTGCAGGCTTGGGATCAAGTGCAGAGCAACTAATCACAGCACTTCTCCTTTCAGGTTCCTTGTCAAGTGCCAGGTGCCCTTTGATTCTTCATGGGTCACAAAGTCCCACTCTGCCTAGCCCTCACAAGCCCCCCTGACGGCTTAAGGTGAACACTTAATCTTATCATTGCGGGATCATGCAGAGTTATTCATTTTCAGGTTACATCCTGGGCAGCAAATGGTGATCAGGGAAAATCGTGGATTTTAAGGGCCCTTCTACATACTAATCACGCCACCTGTGGCTGGCCCACGGGATATCAACAGGAAACCAACACCTGCATCAGTCCCCAGTTTTTTTGTTTGCTGCAGTTCATCTCTTTTTCCGTATGCTCCAACCGCAGTCATCTGGACATGTTGCGGATGGAAAGCGCCAGGTGAAAAGATGAAGAGGCAGCCAATTGCTGAGGGGAAGATGGGTTGCCTGTCAATGCGGGAGCATGGATTCCTTCCTTCTTTTCTTTAGGGGGGGGGGGCTGGGGGGAATTCATTGTTTTGATATGTTTGTGGTTCCCACATTTCCTGCATTTTGAGAGAGATCCCATGGTTTTTGGAATTGCTGAGTGTCCCAAAAGTGCCAGAAGTGCCACGACTCGGCTCCATCGAATCAATCCATGGCACGCGTCCGGCGCAGCCATTTTTGGGCCCAAGTTTTGTTGGTGATTCTGGTGCAGAGCGCCACAGGATGGCAATGCCCGGGTCCACCTCAGAGAGCATCCCGAAGCGAGTGTCGCAAGGAGTTGTGCTATTGGAAAAACTCGTTTTGTTGATCATCCTGTTTCTGACTGGCCGGTCGGTCCGGGGCGAGAGGTTTCTAGGGCATAGGGCTCACTCAGTTGTCACATGTCCAAACCCAAGGCTGGGCAATCCAAATGCTGGAAGACTTTGATTTGGAGCGCAGATGTCCGCATCTCAGTGAAGTTCACTGTGAATGCTTGCATCGCTGCCCAAGGTGTTACCCTACGCCCCTGCAAATAGCAAAAGCACCCCAAAGGGGTCCTTTCCCAAACAAGTGCCTCCAGAAATCGTGCTGTCAGAGTCCGTGTTAATCTGCCGGAGGTTTGGCCAGGCTCGGAAAAGTTCGCTCGGAATCTCAAGAAGTGGAGGGCTTCATGTGGATAGCGATGGAGAATGCCGCGGCGGCTTGTGGAATTCCCCTGGAAATCCATAGATAGGGGACCGCCAGCCAGTTGGTTCTGTATCTCTGGTGACGAGGGGGGTTTTGGTTGAAACGTGCCTTGCTTGAAACAAGCCGAGGCATGATTCGCAAGTTCAAGGCGAGGCCAGGGAGCAACCTCGTTTCAATCAACCATCTTCACTTCCCTGGCCTTTGAACCAACGGCTGCGTCGAATCGCCAAGTCTTAGACTTTGGGGGCACTAGGGTTGGTGAGTTTTCTCAAATGTTTCGGGGCTGGGCATGCTGGGCTTCTGGCCCTTTGGGTTGTCCGCAGCATTCCGCAGCAACAGATTGGGGGTCGAATTGAAACCGGTATCTGCTGAGTTTGCAAAATCGAACAATCTTGTCACCCGAGGAGGCAAAACAAAAGGACAGGCGCAAACTCATATGGTTTTGGCCCAGCCTGCGCTCAAAGGATCCCTCCGAAAGCTACGGATCAGGCAGCTTAACAGGTTTGATACCTCAGGACCGCCCGCGGAACGATCCATACGCTACGTTTTTCGGCGCACACTGTATTTGGCACCCCGGGTAATCAGGTTGAGGAATTTAGTTTAGTTGCAGCAGGTGTTCTGAAGGGTATCCCGGGTGCAAATAAATTAGATTGCAAACTCACCAGGTGAGTGACCCAACTGACCTCACTCATGAAGGTTCCTGTCGCATGAAAACCTTGTTTATAGCCAGGCTTGGCTTGCCTTTCCAGCTGTTGGCCGGGTTTTTTGTGTTTTATGAATTTCCTCTTTTAGCCTGCAAAGGCTAACTTGTTCCTGAGTCCGATAGGGGTACCTTTTTCAAGTACTCATGGAAGCGGACAAGGGTCTGAGGATAGTAGTCTTCTAAACCCTGCCCACTTCCAGAATTGTTGGTTGGTTCAAGTTACAGACTTAGCCCGTCTCCCGACGGAAATCCCACGGCCAAGAAGAGGAAACACCGAATCGACTGGACACCTGAAAGTGCAAATGCGGCAGACATAAACATGGTTCAGAAACCTGCCGCACATTTGCGGCTTTTTAGCCATGTTTAGAAACCTGCTGCACAATGCTGCACATTTGCAGTTTTTTGGGCACTGCGGGCGGATGTCTTTAGGGATCCCCTCCATTTCGAAGAGTTTTTCAAAGAGAACCAGCGCTGGCCCCCGATTGAAACGCACAAAGTATGAAGCTGCATCGGGCCATGAGGAGCATGGGTCGTTCAAGCTTTGGCGCTTGAAAAGGAAACCAAGAAGAAGCCCATCAGAGCATGGGAGCCATTGAAGACATAAAAGGGGTCCCCATCCAGTGGGAAACCCAAACCTGTAATTAGAGCTCTCCATATCGAGGGTAACCTTTCGGGGCTCAAGACAGGAAAAACAGCGCCCTGTGGAGGTTCCCCAGTGGGCGGACAATCGCACATATTCGCACTATGGGATTAAATTCCGCATGGTGGCCTATGTTTCCCTGGTCTAATTCGAGCGTTACTCATGTGTGTTTCACGTATCAAGCGATACGCGGTCACCGACTGACAGGTGCGTGCTCGTTGTTTGACTTTGTCGCGAAGGTTCCCTCTTTGATACCAGGCAACCTCCAAAGTTCGGAATTCTTCCATCGGGGAGGACTTCAGAAGTGGCCCATGGCCCAGAACTCTGCAAGGTTTTGTGTTGGTTTTGCCGAGGCCACATTTATTTGGATTGCTTCGAGCTTCCCGTCAAAATGCGAAACCCAAGACCTGGAAGCTCAGCCCGCTTGGGCGGGCATTTGTGATTCAGTTTTCCCCCCTGCCAGCGGTTTTGCCTGCTTGTGCGCGGCGCAGGTCGGGGATGCCGAATTTACCGTCTCTGTGCGGAACTCCTCAATCCACGTGGAAGAATCTTGCCCGGGCAGCCCGGCGGCACCTTTGGCGCGCCGGCAGGGTGGGCGGGGTGGGCAGGACGGGGAGATGGGGAATGATTCAGACCCTTAAAGTTGCAAAACAAGAGAGCCCAATAGCTGGGCCCGGCAAAAGCAACAAGTATGTTCATTACGCCTAGCAAACCTTCAGCCCGGCAGGTGCGTCTTTCATGGCATGGCGTTTCCCCTTAAGCCACCATGCCGCATGCTGGCCACGGGTAGGGCCTCTCTGGCTTGATTTTGTGGATTCCAGAACGGGGCCCGCAACAACTGAGAACCATATTGCATTTGTTTTGGCCACCCTGCAATTCCAAGGTCGCAAATCTTTGGAGTTCTCAGCGCCTCCCACGTTGAATACATTTGACGCTGGACACACGCAATCCCCCCGACACACGCCTCTCCGAGCCTGAGGAACCAATGAAGCCACGACAAGCTTGCGCCTCGAGCGAACAAAGATGGCTCCCGCCGGCTCCCGTTTCTTGCTTTTTTTGAATGGCGGCAGGGTGTTTTGGGTCCTTATTTTGGCGGTTTCTGCGGGTTATCTAAGTCGGAACATGGTGGGTGGTTTCCCTTTAACCCACCACTTTTGGGGGTGACTTTGATCATGCTGGTCGGACGAACAAGGCGTCAGAATGACGATGCCTTGTTGGCTAGCGACTTCCGACGTTCTATTCCATGTCGCTTGCAAGATGCCCAACACGACTACCCCACCCGACAGAAACAAACAGAATGGCACACGCGTGCGTGCGTGCCTGCGTGGATGTGTGCTTATGTGTGTGGTTGCGTGTGTGTTCTTCGTTTGGTTGTTTGGTTGGTTGTTTACTTGTTTGTTTGTTTGGTTGGTTGGTTGATTGTTTGGTTTGGTGGTTGTTTGTTTTGGTGTTGTGTGGTTGTTTGCTTTAGTTGGTTGATTTGTTTGTTTGTTTGTGTATGTTTATGTGCATGTGTATGTGCATGTGTGCGTCTGTGTCTATAAGGGTGCCCTTTTTTGTGATGGCATTAACGGGAAACCAAAAGGAACACCAAAAGGAAGGTCCGCCCGGGCGTGCAGTGTCCAAGAGTTGGGCCCAACACTTGGTGCAATGTGCTCCATGACATGGGTGGCTCGCCCTTTTTCAGCTGGTCCTGGACCCCTTTTTGGGTGGATTGGAAAAGGAAACCAAAAGAACACCTCATTTGTGGGTTCTCCCGGAAAAGACGCACCCATATGCAAGTCAAGTCTCTCTACAATCTCGGCTTTTATCATTATGTGTTTCCAGTTCCCTGTGAGCCACTGGTGACACCCCTCACTCAGGTGAACATGTTTAAATATCGGAAGTGGATTGCCCGGAACTCCAGGCGAAGGTGTCGTTTAAGTCTATAGACTAGGCCCACCCATATCGTTTTTGCGGTTGACGCATCGTGGATGGCACCATGTTCCACTGCAGTTTTCACCCACTGACCGACACGTGGGCAATTGCAGCATCTACTTTTGCTGGTCTTGGGGTCTTGACACAAAGAACCCCATTAAAGGGGGAGGCGCTGGTTGATAGGTATGTAATTCAAAGAGGAATATCGTTCTGAGGACAACCCCCCTTTTTTGGGCCCACATTCACTTGCAGGAGTTGTGACCAAGGTTGAACAGTCCACCATTTCGTACAACTCCCCGGCATGTCCTCCTGGGGGTCAGGGATGTTAAGGCAACGCAGCACGTCCTCACCTGCGTTGGCAAGGCCGGGTCGCCGTTGGCCATTTGGTTGAGCTTTGTTTTGGAGGTTGCATGTTTGATTTGAAGTCTGGACGTGTGTTTTCGGGAGGCGGCTGAGTTGCCACCGAGAAATGGGCTTCTCCATAAACGGGCACCTCGCATCCAACCCTCCTTTCCGTATGCTTGGACATTCCTCTTGAATCAGCCAACTCGCTGATTTAATTATGGCCCTTGGAGGGTGCCCGCTGCTTCTTCCTCGCTTTTGGTCCTCAGAAAAGAGACATACATGTGCATCTTTTAGCCTACTTGGTGCTCTCACGCAGGGAAATTTGATATTGACAGCCTAACGACCTTGAGGCGTGCTTCGTTCATGAGGGCCAAGACAGCGGTTGAGAGGGGTCTGACCGAGTAAGACACATTGTACAGAAGTGGCAGCGGCCAGTCGGGCTCAGAGCTGAAAAGGCCAGCCATGACTTTCGCAGGTGGGTCAAACCCTGGGACATGCCCAAGCACTTCCAAGCACATGCGGCGGGGCTATGCCTCCCTTGCCTCTTTCACAGGCGGAAGGCGCGGGGGGTGCAAGGTGTGAAAGGAGGAGACGAGCGTCGGTCGGATGCAAGCTCAAGAGCGGCTGGATTTTGAGCCCGCCTCATGTAGACAGGCTACCATAGGCTACCATCCCGGGGCTCAAATCAGGACCCACCGTCAGAGCATATCGGCCTGTTGCCTTTCTCCCAACAACTGAACTTCGAGATGTTTCGTTCATGGAAGAAGCGGTCTCAAGACTTCCCCTGCGAAATTGCAAGACCCATGGATGAACAAACCCCGGTTAAATATATAACAGGGGTGTCCCACAAAAGAGCCTTTGCTTTGGGCAACACCCTCATCCTCCAGGAGTGGTCGGGAGTCAACATCAGGCAAAAGAGAAGCTGCTTTGTTGCAACGCCAAGAAACAGCCCCACTCCCTGGGTAGGCACACCGATTCCGAGCCTCGAAGGGCCATAAGCAAATGAATAGCACAACCAGACATGCAGCCAGCAAACCATGTGGGGTTGTCTTTTCCTTTTTCGTGGCACAGGAAAACCGAAAGGCAAACTGCACCGTTTTCGAAGGTCCAACAGAAGACCCATTCATTCGCTTGTCTTTGGTCATGTCTTGCAATGGGTTGACCATGCCCGCCGCCCCAGAAAAAAAAGAGAAACAAACCGCGAAGGAGGATGGGTGCCGTCGGGGGGACGAGTGCGACCGTTGTCACATTTGCAACCTCAAGGAGATGCAGCGCCGGAAGCACCGTGCCCCGGCGAGTCCTTTTGAGTCTGAAGACCTTCGGGGAGGTCTTCTGTTTTAGTGGATTATGGGATGGGTCGTGCTCAGCCCCATTGTCGTGGGTGTTCTAATCAACCTCTTTTTTTTTGCAAAGCCATCAGAGCATCGCATTTCTCAGCTGGAGGCTGACAGGGAGTTGGTGGGCTGTTTCCAATTGCTCGCTCCATGCATTTTGCTTGGAAGGGGTGCTGTTTGCTGTCGAAGATGGGCGTGATCTTTCCTACGTTGCGGATTTCCCGATTTGGGAGAGAGGTGGTCTGGTGCTGGCTCGGTGAGGTGACTGGTTGGGGGAGGGCTCGGTGGGAGGCGGGGGTTGAGTTGCTTCCCCTTTTCGGTTTTTCTTCGGGTTCAAGAGAGTTACCCTCAGAAAAGCACTTCCCTTTCCATGAAGAGTCACCGGGCTTGTTTTGCCATTTTATAGCCATGCAGGGTTCCCGCCACACTATTCAAAATGGATGGGTGAAATGGGCGCTCAGATGTCCAGGTGCCCAGCTGTCACTCGAGCCATGACGCTTGGATGGTTTACGATGGCTCAGGTTTGCAGCGTGCAGCTCGGAAAGCTCGGCGTGAGGGCGCGTGAGAGATGCATAAATTTGGCTCCTTCAGAACTTGCTCTCCCGGCCAAGCCAAGAAGCTCAAGCCCCGGTTGAACAACAGAACAGGGTGTCCCACCATTAAAATGGACACCCCCTGGCTTGGTCAATCCGCGCGCGCATGTTGGCGCAGAGGAAGCATCCCCCCCAAAAAAAGTGCCCGTAGCAGAGGGACGTCAGGAGAGCCGGGGAAGGTGAAGCCAGCCTGCTGGCCTAGTACATGGCCAAGAGAATATGCTGCGATCGCGGCCCTCGCCGGGTCGCTTGGACAGAGTAAATGTTCATCGATCTGATGACCTGGTACAAGTTTGGACCGAGGATGACGTGTGGCACAAGGGCTCGGGACCGGACACTGCGATGTTTGGAAACAGCCATCTCAATTTGGGCGTTTGGCTTTTGGCTTGGATTTGTTTGAGTCACATGCCAGCAGCTCTCCCTGTTCAAGCTCCGAGCGAGTTTCAGCAGCCAACCAGCCAAACACCCGATCTTTGATTTCAATGACCACCTACTGCACCTGCGTGTAGCAGCTGCAGCCAAGGTTAGGGCACGTTCCCCACTGTGCCCACTCGGTTTTTTTAGTGTTCCACCGTGGACGCACTAAGAGGCATATTCTCATGAAGTTGGCAATGCCACCGGGAATCGTGCATAGACTCATTTAATGCACGCACTGCGTGGCGCTGCCAAGTTTTGCATCACATTGTTGTTTGTCTCCTCTCTTCCAGCTTGTGGCTCTATAAGTCAATGCATGGCAGTAAGCCACTGCGAGGGCGAAACAAACGATCTTGGTGCCATGTGGCAGCGTAACGCTGCTGCTGGACCGGGACTGCGGCGCCATGTGATGCGTGGCAGGGTTTTTGTTCAATTGATTTTGTGGAAGTTGCGAAATCCCTTCGCACCACTCTGCAACTAATGGAGACGATTGTTCGTTGGTATTCGCAGGGGAATCTTATCATCCCATGGTTTCTTAGGTGCAAAATGGTTTTCGTCCATCCACAGTGTTGTCTCAGAAGGCGCAGGGACTTGGCCGGGTGAACTCGTGGCAACCCAACTGGGCATGCCATTTGCTGACGCTTGGGCCCCTCGAAACAGAGGCCCGAAAGCGCTGCGAGTTCTCCCGGCTCAATGACCCACTTCCTTCCGAAAGACTTGGGAGGTGGCTTGGGGTGGTTTAAACCTTTGGGCGAATGTGAAGAGAGTTTCCTGGCTGTTTGAGGGAGGCTTGGAAGTTCTCTTCAGCTCCAATTTCAGCTTGGTGGTTCCCAGCCATCCGGTTCCTTAACTTGTCAGCTTTGTTGTTGGTTTGCCGTTTAGCCCACAACAAGTCAAGAACTTTTAGCAAGGGATTTGAGGACAGTTGAGACCACCCCTTGCCAGAAGCGGCCTTCGGCTGTCCATAGAAGGCCCATGATGAACTGCAGCCAAGGTCCGGGGGCTGTTTCAAGGCTTTGGCATCATGTTTCAATCAAGTGCCCACTCGTTGTTCTACTCAAATGCCTTACCACGCATTGGAGGTTCAGTAGCGCACCCTCCAGGTAGCGACGCGCAACCGGGAATCACACATGCTTGACATGTTGACTGAAGGTGCGATGAGCTATAGGTACATGAACTTAGGTTGCTCTTCTTTAGTTTTGCCCAATTCACCTGACTTGAATCTTCCAACAGCTTGCAGCCAAGGTTCCGTGCTCCAACTTTGGTTGCTGTCCACTCGTGGTTCCGCTCAAATGCGTTAGGGGCATACTGGGGGTTTGCTAAGGGGCACGTTCTTGATGGAGGTGGGGTTTAACGCCTGATTCACGGTCCTTGTGAAAGCAGCCACTGTTGTGTCCAATCGTGGCTTGAATCAAGCCTGGATGTGGCATGCCATCTGATGGGTCCTTGAAACAGCGGCCCAACTGATGGCGCCACTCCACTGGACCCCGTTCCTTCCGAAGCACTTGGAACTGGGGTCCGTATATCTTCAGACCTTTTGCACGAGTGTAAGCTGAGTTTCCTTGTGGGTTGATGTTTGAGCATGGCGTTTTTGGAAATCTTGGGGAACTCGCACGTTGAATTGTTCTCGGCAGAAGCTGCTGACTGGCTTCTGACTCACTTTGCGGCAAGACTCCTTCCAATTCCATCCAGAAAGCCCTTGCTGGGGAGGGGCATTCAAAACGATAGATTGGAACTGGGGCTCCTTTAAGGGACGTTGAAGCTGCGAAGCAACTGCCAACATACAAGTGCCGGAGTACTAGTCAAGGCAGCTTTAGAAGCAAATCGCATAGTACCGGCACTCAGTGAAGGTTAACTGTCGCTTAAAAACAGTAAGAACGGAAGGAGAAGAGAAGAGAAAATAATAGAATACAAGGCTGTTGGGCAAAAGCATAAGAGCCTAAGGGGAAGAAAAGAGAAAAGAAGCGAAGAGAAAAAAGAGAGACAAAGAGCAGAGGTGCAAGCGGTCAGATTGTGTGACAGGTGCAGCACTTCGGGGTAGAAAGTGTTCAAAGTGAGCGCCCTGTGCGTGTTCCGGGGGCGCAAAATCCACCTCTGGCGCGACGCCTGTTCTTCGCAAGTGCGAAAAGGGTGTGGGACGGGTTCGGCGTCAGGCGCATTGGCACGGACGCACGCGATGTCTTGGCAGACGCAGCACTTTCGCAAGGCCAGATAGGTTTTGTGGCAGGCGCTTCTGGCTTTCCAAGAATCATAAAGATTTCGTGGCACTTTCAGTGTCAGGTGCAAAGTTCGGCAGGTGCAGCGCTTTCGCAGGGTGGATTCTGCTCAAAGTGAGCACCTTGTGTGTTTCTCGAGTTGGTACCAGAGCTTCAGCTTGGCAAAGTACGTCTTCGAGGGATAGCCGTCGATGTGGGGCCCCCAGCCTGGAGGAATGTCCTTCCTGAACTCTTGAATGGCGCACCGCCAGGACAGCTCAGCTGTGCCATATGACCGCGTAGGGCAACGTCCGTGTCCGGGCCGAAGGCCTTGATTTGGGTGACGAGGCCCTTCTCGGTGCAGAAGCGAAGTGCTCTTATCCGGTGATACCTGTGAAACCGAGTTGCAACCATCTCTGGCGCGACTCCTGTTGTCGCGGCTGCGGAACGTGTGCGCTTTTCGAGACAGGAGGAGTTTGCGGAACAGGTGTTAACTGGAGGGACGGCGTGCGCGCAGGCGCAACACCTTTGAAATGTAGCGTCGTTCGCATGGCACGAACGCACAAACTGTCACGTTCCGAATCGTGGCAGGCGCAGCACTTTCGCATGGCCAAGTGCGGATTTCAATGCATGTGGTTTTGATGGCAGGTGCAACACCTGCGCAAGGCGGAGCACAGACTTCGCGGCGGCGCAACATCATCGCGAGGCTAGTTGATGGCAAGCGCAGCTCTTTCGCAAGCTCGTGTACGGACTTCCTGGAAGGTAGATAGATGGGACATGTAGCTAGGCAGCTAAATAGATAGGCAGGTCCCTCCAGTAGTGCCGTTTTAGGTTCCCCTACTAGAATAGAATACAAATGGCCTAGAAATAAACAGGCTGTCGCGCATCAGGTTTTGCATGTTGTGTTGTATTGTTGTCTTCGAACGTGCATTCCTGTTGCAAGCGTGATCTGAGACCTCATCTTGTCGCAGGCACTGCGTGCATTCGCCTGCTCCGAAGCCAGTGCGCGTGCGTGCGTGTGTGTGTGTGTGTGTGCTCTTGTTTGCTGGCTTTATCGACAAAAACGGGCAGACCCCAGCCCAGCCCACGTGCTGGGGATGGACATCGCCAGGAGTCTTAACAAGAAATGATTTTTCGCGATGCGTCATATGATGCACGCCCCGATCCACGTTTTGCAAGGTGCCGATGTACAGAATGACTTTAAGAGGCGTCGGATGTGAGGGAAAAAGCTGCGTGCACCGTGCAACTATGCTTTCTGCCACTCAGGGCTTTGGGATGCGTTGACTTGCTGGACCAACCCGGGCCAGCCGACAAAAAAGAATCAAACCTCTGTGAGTCGAGGCTTTGCCAGGCTTCAACTCGCCACAATCAACTTGTTGCAAGGTTCTTTGACGGTGCCAGGTCAGGCGCCTCAGCGCTTTTAGTTCATCTCAGCGTGGTTTGTGCTCTAGTCCCATTTCAGGTCAGATTTACTGTTGTTTGACGCCTGGCGCATGGCAACCGCAATTTGCATGCTCAAAGCCCTGTGGGCCATGTGTTTCTGTGTTTGGGCCTGTGAGCTCAATCCGCGTGCCGGGGAAAATGCCTACTTGAGAATTGGTTTAGCATTGGCTATTCTAAAAGTAGTATCTCCGGATTTGGTGTTTTCAAAAATCGGTTTTAGTATTCGGGGCCTGTTTAGCATTAGGAAGAAGGGCTAAACTTGGGTGTTCCCAGCCATCTGGCTCCTTAGCCTTTTAGCTTTTTAACTTTTTAGTTGGCTTAATGGTTGGGTTTCCCTTTAAACACTAAAGGTCAAACTTTTAGCAGAGGATCTGAGGACAGCCACCTTGGGGCGCCTTAGTACTAAATTGGAATTTCCTTTGGGGATACCTTGGGGTTTCCTTGGACACGTCGTGGGGAGTCGCAGTTTGGGCGAACACAACTCCACCCCGTCCTTCAGGACATGAAATCAAGCATGTGGTTTCCTGTGATCAAGCACCCTAGGTATCCGCAAGGAAGCCCTTGTCAAGGTAGTTCCAAGCAAATGTCGGCACAAAAGTCATGACGTCCCGGATCAAAGCTACCTGCCGACAATCAACCAGCTAATCCCGAAGAGGCATCTGGGAACGCGACCAGCTGGCCGGGGCTGGGATACTTTATATCAGATAGCCCGCTGGTCGCCGTAGCAGTGCATAGGCCGGATGCAACATGTGTCTGTCTCGTCAAGGCCTAGCTTCGTGCGATTTGTATTCTGCGACCATCTGCTAGCCTTACCTCACGTGTTCAGCTTAAGCCCAACAAGTTCGGAGGTGAATCCCCAAGCAGTTTTTCCTTGGCCATGCCGCCTCTGACTGACGGCGACCTCTACAGCACCTTGGGTGTGTCGCCATGCGCGTCAGACCCGGAGATCCGGTCGGCCTACAAGCGCCGGGCCCTGGCAACGCACCCGGACAAGGGAGGACTTGCGGAGGACCGAACCGCATCGGTTGGTAGCGAGGCCATGTTACCGTCCTGCCCCGGCTTTGCAGGGGTCATCGGATCGTTGCTAAATCCGTTCGCACCACTGTCAAACCATGGTTGAAACCATTGACTGTTGGTATTGAAGAATCAAAGCAAGCCAGGGTTTCTGAACGGTGCAGATTTTTCCATCCACTTCCGGTCCAGGTACCTGGTGCGCTCGCCCTCGTGCATGGGGACGGGTTTGTTTTGGGATGGCGAACGCCCTTTTCCAGGGTTTCTGTGTCAAACTGGGACCCTAGCTTTGGTAATTAATTACACCCCGAGCGAAAAAGTATTTGAAGCTTGCAAGTATGCCAAGCTTGCAAGTGTGCCAAGTATGCCAAGCTTGCAAATTATTTGTGGAGACCACCATAGTTCTCCAATCTCGCTCGTGCAACGCGGCATGCTTTCACTGTTGCTTCGCCGCGCATGCGCTAGGTGCATTTGGTTTTCTGAGAGCCCCCGGCTCCACCAAACCGAGACTTTGTTTGCCAGCCGGGGTAACCCCCGTCGCCATCCAAGTGCTCATGTAGAAATCGCGCGAAACCCACGAGCCGCTTCAGGACTTCTTGCAGGTGGTCAGCGCTTTCGAAATCCTCACGGACACAGCGCGGCGCAGAGTATATGATCAACGCCACAAGCCCAAGCCCAAACACAAGCGAAAGGAAAGCAAGGCCGACGCCAAGGCCCAAGCCAAGTCTGACGCGCAGGCCCATGCCTGTGAAAAGTTGGTTTTCGTTTCTCTTTGCTTTACCTCGTTTTATGACCATTTGAACCATTTGGTAACGGATCTTCGGACCTTGTCTTTTCGGGAAGCGTTGTGGATTTTCCGTTGGACCCACACAAAGTCTTCCACTTTTTGCAAGGACCCAACCTCGGACGCGCGTGCGACGCATGCGGCAGCTGCGAAGCCGGAGGCGCAGGTGGACTTCCGCGGGCTGCTGCGCAAGCTGTTGGGCGCCAAGAAGGTGGACGTGAAGCGAGTGGAGCTCAGCGCCCTGCACCTGCAGGTGCATGACTCAGCCGTCCCCCTTTTTTCTCCCAAATGCATCAATGATGCGATAGGTTCTCGTTCAATCGGAGCCTTCCGCGATGGGAGCGTTCGCCGGGTGCGGACGGCTTCGTGCCGGTGGGATTTGGGAGCGTTGCTAGTGGTGGCAGTGCTGGTGGGATTGTGCTCCCGGGTTCCGAGCGCTTCCGGGATGGGTGTGTTCACCGACGCGGTGGCTGTGCCAATGGGATTGGAGCATTCGTGCCAGTGTCATTTGGAATTTGGACCCCCACCAAAAAATGAACTTTGTTTTTTTTTTGGGGGGGGGGTCAACAATGAGGAGCTTCATCCCTGCTAGAAGTCTTGGAGTGGCAAAGGCGCTGACTGACAGTGCTTACCAGTCACCGGGCTTGCTATTGCCGGTGCCAGGGCCCCAAAAAAGTACATGGTGTTGTTTTTTTTGCGGGGGGACCCTGAAACAGGTGGCATCAGAATAAATCAAGGCCAAACTTCAACCGGCTCTCCGGCCTGGTTTCAGGGCTGCAGAGGGCTTTTTGTTTGGCTTAAGCGTGGCTGACACAGGTGCCGCTGTCTGGAGCCACGACTCGGCATCCGAGCTTGTGTCCTTTCCGGGGGGTCCTTTCTTGAGGCCTGCAAAGGAAAAGTCGTTTGTCACTGCGCTAGGATAACTCATGTTGGCTTGTGTTGCGTCATCTGCTTCGGTGAATTCGCCCAATACGTTTGCTTAGGGGCAGCAGGCTTGGTCGGCGAAGAAATAGGTTCGCCACGATCTTGGCGAAGGCAAAGAAACATGTTTGGACACCATGGGGTCTTCCAAATATGGGAACCTCGCACAGAGGATGGTGTCCAAGTTCCTTTCAAAACGCATCCAGCTAGGCCCTGGGTGTTTGATCTTTTTTTGGGTGGTGGAAGGCCTTCTGAGCTTGAAAGGAACACCATTGGGACCCTGGCAGGCGTGCGTCGGTCACTTTATGAGAATTCCTCGCGAATCGGCCAGGAGTTCTTGGGATTCTTGAAGTCTGAAACAGAACCTGGACATTGCGATGCGGAGTCCGGCCTCGATCCTACCATGGGGTTTCAGCCACGTGTTTTCTTGTTTTCGCCGGCTCATGTCTTTTTATTGGGGGCCCTCTTTTGGTTGGTCTTAAAGGGAAAGCACACCCAAGCGTATTTCGGGAGTGTAGGAAGAAGGGTCCAGCAAGGAAGAAGACAGCGAGGACATGCTGGCGCTTTGCGACGATGTGAGTGAGGAAGCCGCGCATGAAAAGGCGGTAGAAAGCAGCCAAAAGCACGCCGCCAGGAAGCGGGTTGAGAACTGCGGCCGTGGCTCGCGTTTAGGGCTATGCCTTTGGACAGTTTGGCCTACAAAAAACGCATCCCCGCTTTTGCAAGCAAATTGCGGCCTTTTCTTAGCAGCCCTTTGGAAACACACACCAGAGCACTGCGATACTATGCATGTATACATGTGTATACAGATGCATGGTTATATATATATATATTCTTACCCCCTTCCCCCGATCGATGGGTCTACTTTGTTGCTGTTTGAAGGCTCTTTCGGAGGTGGAATGCAGCTGTTTATTTGGAGTGCCCCATGTGAAGCGAGGAAATTCTCTTCAAAATCTAATTTGTAAGAAAAATAGTATTTGACTTATCTTCAAAATCAGAAACTCCACTAGAATTATTGCCTTATTAGATTAAATTATAAATAGACAATTGAGAATCAACTTCCAAGAGGAATACATACTCTGCGCCAAGATGCTTGCACAGGTAGGGATGGAAGTTGCCGTAGATCAAGAAGAAGACATACTCCACGCCAAGACACTTGTCTCGCGCAGGTAGGTCGGGAAGGCACCAAAGTGAAAGAGGAAGACATACTCCGCGCCAAGACGCCGGGGTAGGTAGGTCGGGCAAACACAAAGTGAAAGAGGAAGACATACGCCACGCCAGGACACTTGTGCAGGTAGGTCGGGAAGACGCCGTAGTGCGCCAGGAAAAAACACACGGCACACGCAAGCGGGGGCGCAAATCTGTCTGGCCCTTTGGCTTCAGCATTTGCAAGGAGCCGTCTCTTGCGCAAGCAACACAAATTGAGCAAACATCGTTCGCAAGCGTGGCGCTGGAGAGCAAAAGCACAAGTCACGCGCCGGCTTCATTCCAAAGTTTTCAACACCCACATAGTGTAGTCTCTGCCAGCCTGGCCTCGCTGCCAACAGGCAAGCAATGGCTTCCTCAGCGGACATGTTGCGGGCTAGAATGAGCCAAGCGCATAGCGTCGCTGATGCCTCCTACGCAGTACATCAGGATACGGGCGCTGCCGCGTTCTAGATGGATCGCGCGCCGAGCTTGGTATAGCTGACTGCAGGCCGACAAACATGCTTCCAGCAGCAGGTTGGCTCGGAGCAACAAGGTCTCTGCGTCGTGACTAGCATTGGCGCAAATGTAAAGGACAGCGATAGCGATGTGTCGCACTTCATGATGCAAGCTGCATGCAGCCTTCAAGCTCCCAAAGACGCCTTCGCCTGCGTGCACCTATTGCTTGGCGTCGCCTTCGCCCACTTCCAGCACGTCCGGCTCGTCTCTGGCACACGCTACCACACACACGTGCTCCATAAAGATTTGCGACTTGGCGGTGTGGACCCCCATGATGGAAAACTTCACATCCTTAACAGATCCTAAATGAGCAAAACGCATCCTTCAGGCCTTTCAGTTCACTTATGGGGCGTTCTTCAGCTGTGTATGCCGCTGCATAACACGGCTTCGCCGCCGCAGCCTGAAGCTGACAATTGGCCTGCTGATCTGTGGTTGGAGTGAGCTGCGTGGCTGGTGGCGTTGACTGCGAAGCCGTCTGCGATGCGTTCCATGCTGTTCAATGGCCTGCACCATGCTCTCTTTGTCCTTGAAGCCAGCCAGCGGCAGCAAGACGTTGCCGTCCACCAGCACCCGCTCGAGCTGGCCGGTGAAGTCCGCCAAGGTCACGGTGGCCAACACTGTCACCTCGTCGGCCGGGTCGGGCAGACTTGAGCGTATCAGGGTCAATCTTCGTGCTGCGGTGCTTGCGTTGAAACCATCCAAGCAGCATGCAAGACAACCCCTACTTTGTCCTGGCTCGCGCGCAGAGCTGCAAGTCACGCACGTCGTCTCATAAGCGAGCAAGCAAAACATCAAGTTACTAGGCTGCAGAACTTGGAAAACGAAAGGTCCGAGCGTCACAGCCCTGTTCGGACTCCATAGCGAAACTGCAAGCTGAAGCCGTGGCCGCACAAGTAACATAACACGGCAACGGTTCGCTAGTCAACTGGAGAGCCCGCGAGCTGGACCAAGGAATGGCGAGCGCGTGGCCGCGGTCTGTTCCCAGCGCTTGCAGTCGAGCTTGATCGCCGGGTTGACGTGCATATATGCAAACAAGTTCTTGTCGCTGTCCTGGAAGTGCTCAGTTGTTCCATAGATGTCGCGCTCGCTCTTCTTCACCAAAGCGCAGTTATCGATTTGCAGGACCTCACCCAGCGCCTTCGCAGCGTCCACGAACTTTTTTGCCCCACAGATCCACTAAGAGCTCGTTTCCACTCTCGTGTTTCATGGACACGTTGGCCTTGGGCTTGTTGGTGTTGGCAAAATCAACGTTGGTCACCACGCCGATGATGTCCGCCCTTTGTAAGCGTGGCAATGCTGTTGCAAAATTCTTACTTGTTTACTTTCGGGTCATTCTTTACGTTTTCACTTTTGGGCCAATGGCTCCAACATAGTAGCTTTTGTTTTGCATTTTCTGACAAAGCCAGAATTCAATCAGGATTCTATATTCCCTGGACAAGTTTGGCCTAAAACTTTCAAATTGTTTTTGGACATGCGCCACTTTCCCCATAGCCCCAAAAAAAGGCCAACACTGCACATACCAGTGATTTCCAAACGGAGGTAGATCCACGGGGGTACCATGTCTGTATCTGTCTATATATGTGTGTGTGTGTGTGATCGTTTCTTTCCTTCTCCCTCTCTGCATGTATATATGTATGAGCATGTACATATGCATATATATATATTGTTGGATTTTGGCGCCAGGACAACCTTGAGGGGAGTGAACTGGAGATCCCCGGGGTACATGGCCAGTGTGGGCTTCAGACACTTGAATGTGTACTCCCATTTGGTGCACGACTTGGATGCAGCTATCGACATGCACATCAGCCTGGTGCGGCTGCGGCAAGGAGTTTGTGACCAGCTGATTGCTGGCATTGACCACTACCAGGCGCTAAGTGGCTCGGGCTGCATGAAGTTGCCTGGGATGGGTATTCAATTGCCTTGAATGGTTGCCAACATTTGCCCAGCGCGTGGTCAAACCACACACTAGACTCTATGATGAACATGGAGCCGGAAATGCCGCTGCCTTTATCGAGGAATCTTCTTGGGTTAACCGTATTTTGGTCCCCACGTCAATTTGCAGGGGAGTAGCGCCGTCTACGGCTTTGAAACCATAGGGATTGATCTAATTTCGGCCAGTTATTTTTCGCAAACGGGGCCGAGGGCATGGCTTGGACACGATGGATGCCGAGCGGCGGGCTGCAGGGCTTGTCAAAATGCGACTGCGCTTCAACACCTACTACCGCGGGAAGAAGACCCCAAGGACTCAGAACTTCGCTTCACTGTTCTTGGCTGTCTGTGTTTGACTTCTGCAAAGAAGACAATGGCTTGCTAGTATATATATATATATATGTATACGCGGGAACCGCGGAACCGGAGGGGCTCGGGACAGATGGTTTTGCGAGCTGCCTCTTCTTTTCACCTGGTTGAATGGGGGGGCTTCTCCCTCGCGTTCTTCTTGCGCAGGACTCAGGACTTAGACGAAGTTGTTCGCCAGTGGGCCAACGCTGAGCAACAATTCGCCCAAGCGTGGCTCGGCGGGTGACGAGTGCGGCCCGCTGGCCGCTCAATGCCAGGATGGAGGATTCCGCTTGACCAACACAAATGCAGTTGTAGGGGATCCTTACGGGTTTTCGCCTGCGCCAAAGGATAATTCCTAGGACCGGTTTATCGTTAGAACTCATTTCCCTGGGATTCAAAAGGCCTTAAAAAGAAAGGCCTTTATAGCAAGGGCCTTTGTTTATATGGCCGTTGGAATGGGGGTTTGGTGGCGGTTCAAGAGTTCAAACATAGCATTGGTGTTGGTGTTTGTCATGGGGACCTTGTATCTTGAAGTTTGTCGCCGTCCAAAGGGCTTTCTAGCGAGAGAGAGAGAGAGAGAAAGAGAGTGAGATAGGCATTGTTTGATTTAGTTTCATATTGAAGGCTTGGCTAGCTCTGAGCGTGTTGCACGGGCCAATATCCTTCTCTATAATGACTCTTTAGATAACTTATTCTTCTTGACTGCGTGCAAAGAAACTAACTTGCCATTTACATGCTCAAGGAATTGCAGCCTTTTCAGCAGTAAGAACGTTAAGGCAAGGCAACTTGGATATATGTATAATGCGGGGTTTGCTTGAATTCGCTTCCATCCGTGCTGCGAGCACCAGGCAAAGGCTAGTGGTTAGGATATAGTAGGCGTAGTTCCACGAAGGCAGCGCCTGAAGAGGAAGCACTGCTTATGTTCAACATGAGCTGCACGTTGGTGCTATATCGGGCTGTGAAACCTGCCAGCCTACCCTTACTGTACTTGTGGTTTGTGATTCTGCACCGCAGTGCGTTTTGTTTGACTAATTTATATAAAGCCCTTCGACGCGATTCGAGCGACTGCAACAGCCAAACCCACCCGCGCAGCGTAATTCTTTGGAGGGCCTGCCTGCCTCCTGTGGTCAGTTGCACCGGTGCTTGCACCTTTCACTGCTTTGGGAAGGGTCAACGGTTCCTCCACTGCTTGCCGATTGGGCGTTGCTTGTGCGCAATGCGTTTGTTTTTTTCCGCGTTTGCAATTGCATCGCCATTTGCAAAGATGTCCGGCTTTCAGCTGTGTGCCAGCTGCGGCCCGCACAATCGACACATAATAATGGTAATAAGCATATACGTACCTTGCATTGAACAGACGTGAATGCACATGAACCATGTTTGGCAAACAACGCAAGGCCCAGCTCCTAGTTTCAACCAGAACCTAACCAGCAGGGAGCCAAGCTACGAGTTCACGCCTAAAAATGGCCGTTCACGCCCTAAAAAGGCCTTTCACGGTAGTTTCACGCTTGTTTCACGGTGTTTCACGCTTCCTAGTCCCGAAGGTTGTGGGCTGAAGATGCTGCTGCGTCCAGGGCGCTGTGTCACATGAGTGGTTGTCTAAACTTGCCCTGCTAGCATGCTTCAACTTACAAGAAGCATGTGTATTGAAATTTGGGAGCCAACAAAAATATGTGACCTAAGCAATTCGCACCAATAATTGCGCTTGATAAGTGTGCCGCTTTGTGTACTGGCAGTGACCGCAAGTTGAAGGGTCACTAACTGACACACTGACTGCGTGGGGCCTTAACATAGTACATGATGAATACATGCCACATTCAGCTGTTCTCACAGTCATTTGGGTTGCGAGTATGCCTGTTTGCTGATTTCAGTTAGTCTTGGGAAGGCAAACTGCTGCAAGGAACCTCGCAGTCCAATCCACGGACTAAGCTACTACAGCTGTCACGACACGTGCATTGCTTTGCGCGAACTTCCTGATGTCATTGCGCCAGTGTGTTTGAAGTGGCGGGCAAGTGCGTTTGACTCACGTCACCGGCATTACCAACAAAGTACTATACTGGTTTTAACTGAATTTGAACATGAGGTTTGCCATGACCGATCTTTCTAGACGCAAAGGGCTGGAATATGTAGTTGTTTAACGTTTGTTTTCTAGGTAATTTGCTAGGCCGTTCCTATATATATATATATATGTATTTGTCCAACGTGCTGGCCCGAGGTTGCAAAACCCATATCCTGCCTGTTTATGCTAACCTTCTTTCACATAGTTGATGCTGTTCCGGAAATTCCAACATCGTGCTCAGCCTTTACTTGTGACTGTCACCCTGATCTAATTACAGGCGCTAACATGTGAAGCTTCGCACATCTTGCAATGGCAAGAAAACAACGTCTTTGCGTCAAACAAGGCTCACTCAAACATCAAGAGGGCGAGAGACAGAATGATGGGAAAAAGTGTTTCTAAAGAGCGGCTGCTAGAAGTTCCATGGCAAAATAATACTTACAAAATTGAACATTTGCAAACAAAGGCCTTTACAGGCCTAAAAAGGCCGAGCCGTAAAGGCCTTTGTTTTAATGGCCTCCGACCCCCAGGGATTTAGGATCACCCCAAAAAGATGTGCGATCGCGTGTGCGCGATTGCGGGGCAAAGAGCTCATTTTGGCAGAGTACAAGATGGCAAATGCTTTGTCGGCGAAAGAGTGTTGATGACCTGGCCAAACTTTGTCTCAGCGCAAGGTGGGCGCTGTGGATGGACCCCCAGTGACACTCAAAAGATGTCCAAACATCGCTAAAAGATGATTATCTTTTTTGGTTTCCCTTTAAACCCACGCTAAAACGATCTTCCCAACAAGTGTTTTTGTCCAGACAGGGGGTGTCCATCGCATTCCGTCAGTAAGCAAAGTAGCCAGCCAAAGGGCTGGCAATTCCATCCAGGGGTGGAAGGCTGGGGGGGGGGAGAAAGCCTAAGGCAGCTGGCGCGGAAGGAGAAGAAGCGGAAATTGGAGCAGATCCGCGCAGAGCTGACGCAGCAGAAGCAGACCGAGACCTTGCGTGATCTTGTTTCGTGCTTTTGTTTCTTTGGGGCGGTGGTTCATGCTGTTTCACGGTGTTTCATGGCTCACGGTGTTTCATTGTGTTTCTTTTGTTTGGGGCGTGGCCCTTTTTAAAATCGACCAACAACAAGGGATCAACTGCCACGCCGATTCTGTCCTGGCCGCTGGGCTCAGGAGAGAGAGCACCAGAAGAAGGACTTATCCCCTTCGATTCGATCCGGATCGGAAGGCCGCATGTCAAATCAGATCGATCCCCAGGTTCCCGTAGAAATGGATGGCGTTGGTTTCAGGAACAGCTGAGCAGCTTATGAAGGTCTAAGTTGAGCAGGCTTATTGCAAGCCCCTCGTGGGGTGATTTAAACATCACTCCGCCAGCTTCCTTTGGCGGGGTGATGCTTAGGAACGTATGAAGAACCCTGCGAGCTGACAGGCCCAAACACTTCGAACAATTCATGCTCATGGCAAAAGCTTTCTTCTGCCTCCAATTCCTTTTGGAACCCCGATTCTTCATGAGCTACAGGGGAAAGCTGGGGCTTGGTCTTACGAAGCTTGCGCTCGAATCGAGAGTGAAACAGCGGCCACCAAATCGTTGGGAGGGCGGCCAGGAGAAGGACAGGCAGGTGCGACAGCAGCACATAGAACAGCTTCGGAGGCACCGACCTGGCACCCGACGTGAACGAGTTACGCCAAGGGCGAGTTACACCAAGCAGATTTGGCTGTGAGTCAAAACCAATGGTACCATTTTGGAGTAGGTGCACCACCCATTTTAGTCTTTTTAGTGAGGATTGGGATGTTCACTGAGGGTACGGGCTTTTGACCCATGGCCATTTGAGCAGTTCGGCGTCGGCGCTGCTTTGCCTTTGTGCCAGATGATTTTGGGTGGCAAAGCGACAAGTGGACACGGCTTGGCAGTCGTTCTTTGCTTTTGGGGGTCTGGGGAGCTGAAAGTTTCAACGGAAGCCCAGTTTACCAACTTGTCCATGGGCCGCTTTCCGAGTTCGACCCAATGGTTTTGGTAGCTTCCCTCCAATCTGTGTCGTGGAGGTTAGGGGGTGGTTTCCCATTTAGCCTCTACAAGGACCATCCAGAATCCGAACCATCAATCCAAACCACCCATCATGGGCAAGCTGAGTCTGAAGAGATGGATTGGACCCAAAGGGTGTGATGGCTTGCACCAAAGAACACTCAATCGAACCCATGCATCACCCAAGAATAAGCATGTCCTTTTGTTCGGGCGTGTCCCTGTTCGCGTCGCATGGCGCTTGCGCGACAGGTGGGTGGAGGAGATGTTCCAGCAGCACCTGCGAAGTCGCTTCCAGGCCTGGGGCACCCTGCCCCATTTTGGGAGAAAACCCGGGGCCTGGGAGGTGGAGGGAGCCCAAGTTTGAGCTGCCTAAATCGAGCCAAAAGGGCTTAATATATATATATAGCCCCAGGATGAAACAGGGCAAAAGATAGAATTTGGTCCACGTAAAACAGAACCTTTTTCACCAGACGAAAATTGGAACTCATCATGTTGGGGGTTATGCGGGTAAATTTCAGGTGGGCACTCTGCAGATCAACACGGACCCCCGAAGATCAATCGCCTCTCTTTAGAGGCAAGTGTTTCTGGAAAGGACTGGATGAGACCCGTTTTTGGGGTGATTTGCAGGGGGCACCCTCTCCAATCGTGAAGCCAGGGATCGCTTCACTACCCATCTTAGAGGAACCTCCAGATCAGAAAAAGGAACCGGAAACCATAGACCCAGGAGCTTTTGCCAAGAAGCTGGGTTCCTCAAATAGTGGACCTATTAAGTCCCATCATGAGTCGTGACCAGACATTGCGGCCACCTAAACTTCCATTTGCCTAAGAATATTTGTTTGATTAAGCTTTTTGGCTTTTGATTAGGGGGATCGATTCCACTGAGGATGTGTTTGTGCTTTCCGGGTTTCAAAGGGGCGAACGGAAGTAAAACATTTTTGGCAAATCCCGTGCATTCGCCATAGGTCTCAGAGCTGCCGGAGGGCCTGCGGCTCGCCAGCTTCCAGGCGGGCGAAAAGCAAACACCCTTTCCTGTGCACAGATGTCCCGCAAAACCTGGGTGGGGGGGGAAGGGGGGTCTGGTCCTGAAGGAAGAAAGGGTTTCCAATTGTTGGAAGTTTTCTGTGCTCAGCGAAGTCTGAGGCTTCTTGCAGGTTTTATTGCGCGTTTTGGTTTGGAGGACATCAGGTGCCGAGAAACATGGGGCCGTTAGCGTAAACTGGAACTGGCAACTTGGAATCCACGGCTGAGGTTTGGGACGCTCGTTTCTGGGGGCTGAGGTTGATTTTTCAAGGAATCGCAGGGATGAGTATTAGCATTTGTTGCCCAAACATTTAACTCAGTTGGAAGATCGATATAATGATGTCCAGAATTGTCGGATTCGTTCTTTGCGACTTCGTGTTTTGCGAATTCGCACCAGTCGGGCCGGCCAGCTCCGGTCAGGGAGATGCGGACTGTGTCTGTGCCCAGCTACATTTGCATGGGGCTAAGCAGCTTGGGCCCTATCGCCGCTCTGTCAAGGACTGTAGGGCCCGATTGCTTCTTCGCGGGAAAACGGTGATGAACCACCGTTTTCCCGGAGCATCATGGTTTGTTTGTCGTTCTTCCAATGTGTCCACATCTTTTTGATGGGCCTGCCTCCCCGTGTATAGTCAATGTATGTGCGGATGGGTAGGGGTAGGTGGGTACAAGGTGGGTAGGCGCAGGGTGTGGGGTGGGTTGGGGTGGGGGTGGGGTGGGTGAGTGGGTTTATTAATTGTGTCAAGTGCTTGTGTGCATGCGTGCGCCCGTGCTTCGTCCACGTGTGAGTGCGTGCGTGCCTGCGTGCGTGCGTGCGTGTGTGCGTGCGCGCGTGTTGAGTTTGCTTGTGCTTGCGCCGGTGCCCGTACAACCATTCTTAGATTCTTGTGTGCTCTCCCCATCGTCCTTGCCCTTGTTGTGTTGTTGCGTTTTATTTTTTGATGTAACCTGGGCCGGCGTGCGTGCGACTGTTTGTGATTGCATCATGTCATGTGCGATTGTGTGTTTGTGTGTTTGTGTGTTTGTGTGTGTGTTGTGTCTTGTGTCCGTGTTGTGTCGGTGTATTGTGTGTGTTGTTGTGTGTGTGTGTTGTGTGTGTATTGTGTGTGTGTTGTGTGTGTTGTGTGTGTGTGTTGTGTGTGTTGTGTGTGCGGAGTCCCGGTCCGGACTCCGGGTCGGGCTCGTGCTTCGTGTGATTCGCGCTCGTTTTGTGATTCGTGATTCGTGATTCGTGATGTGTTTGTGTGTGTGTGTGTGTGTTTGTGTGTGTGTGTGTGTGTGTGTGTGTGTGTGTGTGTGTGTGTGTGTGTGTGTGTGTGTGTGTGTGTGTGTGTGTGTGTGTGCGTGTGCGTGTGCGTGTGCGTGTGCGTGTGCGCGTGTGCGCGTGTGCGCGTGTGCGCGTGTGCGCGTGTGCGCGTGTGCGCGTGTGTGCGCGTGTGCGCGTGTGCGCGTGTGCGCGTGTGCGCGTGTGCGCGTGTGCGCGTGTGCGCGTGTGCGCGTGTGCGCGTGTGCGCGTGTGCGCGTGTGCGCGTGTGCGCGTGTGCGCGTGTGCGCGTGTGCGCGTGTGTGCGTGTGCGCGTGTGCGCGTGTGCGCGTGTGCGCGTGTGTGCGCGTGTGCGCGTGTGTGCGTGTGTGCGTGTGTGTGCGTGTGTGCGTGTGTGCGTGTGTACGTGTGTGCGTGTGTGCGTGTGTGCGTGTGGGCGTGTGTGTGTGTGTGTGTGGGTGCGTGTGTGTGTGTGTTGTGTGCGTCTGTGTCTGTGTGTCTGTGTGTCTGCGTCTGTGTTTGTATGTCTGTGTGTGTGCATGCGTGCCTGCGTCTGCGCGCGCGTGTGAATGTGCATGTGGGCGTGTGTATGTTATGGTTGCTTGGATGGGCTTGGCATGGCTGGTCGGTTGGTGGACGGTGTGCATGTGTGCGTGCGCGCGTGTGCGTGTGGCAGTGCGTGTGGTTGTGTGCGTGTGTTTGTTGTGTGCTTTTGTGTTTGTGTGTGTGTGTGTGTCTGTGTGTGGTTGTGTGTGGACCTGTGTGTGTGTGTGGCTACTTGGTCCTTGGACTTGAAAGGGAAAGCAAAAGAAACACCCAGCCAGCTCAGCCTAGCAAACACAGCACAACGAGAAAAGGCGAAAGGGCCGCAACTTCACGACACACCCTCAGCAGTTCCTCAGGTTGCACGTATGAGCCCATGTACCCCGGGTATGCGCCCCTAGATGGATTAACCTACTTAATCGTTGAAGAGCAGGCACCAAAAGGCCCCACGGCACAGCATTTGTCGTACCCTTGTAAACCCGAGTCGAAAATCGCTACCAGCGGAAACCAGCGGAAACCCACCGAGTCCTTTTGCGAGTCCCGCCCATTCGTTGCCAGGAGGCCTCTAGAGACCTGCTTCAGCTTTCAGCTCTGCAGCAGCGCGGCGACGAAGTCGCGCTGCGTGAGTTGAGACGCAGGGACACCGAGGCGCGAATCCGCGCTCGCGTGCGGCCCGGGCTTGAAGGGCAGAAAGCTGGTAGAAGAGCCCAACCAAGCCCTCCTGCTCACTAACATTGAGCCGCACTGAGGGGTTCTGGAGGACTATTTCACTTTAAAAGGGACCATCTAGTGGGTTCCATTTAGCGGACAGGAGGGTATACCCATGTCTACCCCAAACATGTTCCAGTGGCCACTGGGCTTGAAATGCTGCCAAAGTCAGTCAGCACATATGGCACAAGGTCATGAAACCATAAAACTACATTCTATTCATGAGCATTCCCATTCCAAGAGAACCCAGGCATTCTCAGGAAAACGCTGAAAGTGCTTCCATAAATTTGGGCATGCCAACACATACATCCAATTGGTCGCTCTTAGGTTCAAGATTAAGGATGCTCAGGAACACACTCCTTTGATGATCCAATTTCCAACCGTCACAAACAAGACAGCGCATTGTTTGTTCTGGGGGGCCGGGGGGGCGGGGGTTGCACACAAACTCTGTTGCTGCATTGCTTAAGCATTTCCAAAGATTGAGATTCAAGCCTTATGACTGTTTGGTTTGTTTTATCCTCTGCAACAGTGAAGCGGCCCCAGGCAGCCTCAGGGGGATTCGAGGGAATGGAGCGCGTGTTTGCCCCATTCTCTGAGGCCATGACGGCATTTTTCATGGAGACGATGAAGTGATCCGACCTCCGACTTGCTTTTCAAAGCTCGGTAGCTTTCCTGGCCAGAAGGCAGAAAAGGGCCAACGGAGATCAACAGGGGAAGCCAGGTGAACGAACCCGATCCCGCAGTGGCCTGAAGATGCGCTTGAAGATGCCGCCTGGAACGCGTGGGTGCGTTGAGGGCTATGGCGGCGAGTGAGCTGCGCTTCGCATGAGATGCGAAGGACCTAAGGCAGCGAGGGCCTTTTGGCCGAAGAGAAAATGGGCGCACGCAGAGCGGGTCGAAGCCGAAGAGGAAGGCGCAGGCTTTGTTGAATTGGAGGGGGAATTGTGGAATGGTTTGACTCCAATTGATTTGTCTTTGAAACCAAGGGCATTGCCACGCAAGCTCACTTGCCCAATGCCGACCTTTTGACCTGTTGGTTTCCCATGTTTGGTCCATTTTTAGTAAAGGTCCCAAAAGGTTAACCTTTTATTTCTGGGTCCTTTGGGCAACTGAGTAAGACTTATTTTACTAGTACCTTATTCAGTATTCACTCATCAGCCGCAATTGCTTGTGGAAGGCGACTCTCTGCTTCCGCTTTTGCAGGTCTCAGCGATGGCTGCACGAAGCAATGTGCTGAGCAAAAAAGACGTGAGCAGTCACGGCAGCATTGCAGCACCATCCTGAGCCCCATGTGCATGCCCAACACCGGACAACTGCGTTGGCAACTCGCTTGGTGTCTGTGAAACCAACCAAAGCGAGGTTTCCTTATAGGAGAAAACGGCACAGCCTATGATTCCAGGCAGGTTTGAGGTCCTGCGTCCATGCCCATGCCATCCGATGCTCTCACATTGACATGCTGACAAGCATTGCGCAGGATAGATAGGCCATTCATCATAGGCACACAGACACCCACACTGACGCACACACTGACGCACACACACACACAGAGGCGCGCACGCACACAGACATTCGCATTGCTGCACGATGCGCACATTTGGAACCCTTACCCCCACGCCCGAGTAAAAAAGCGAGTCAGGGTACGGGTCCCGATGCCAGCGCCATGGGTGAACCCAAGTGGGGTGTCTACGTTGGCAAGGCCAGAGATGTGACCTGCCCCGGTGATAATGCAGCTCGGCGCAAGTTGATCTGCCGAGATGTGTCATGCAGGCATGGCGATTGAGAGAGACCAGTTGTCCATGGTCATACATGGTCTAAGTTTTCCCACTGCCACTTGGGCTATCAACATGTGTGTGAAAAACAGCGCCCAACATATCCATGTGGAAAGGAGCATGAGATGTATGTGGCCAAATGGTGAGCATGAACATCTCCTGAAGCACCGGGTGTGTTTCTCACCTTTTTTCAGTGCCACGGATGTCCGCCAGGAAGCCCAGTGTCTCATGACTGCTTCAGGTCACATACGAGTTTGTGGTCTACGATGGCCACAGGCGAGGCTGAGTCATTGCCGATGAGGCTGAACGCGCTTAGCTCACGCCCCGGCTTTCTGCACATCATTTTAGCGGGAAACCCAAAGTTCGGACGGTTGGGGCAGTGAGTTGACTTCGCTTGGCCTTTTTTTTCACTCGCCCCCAAGGGAAAACTATAGTACCTCTTTTTCACGGCTTTTGTTCGTGGGTGTGTTTCTGCCATTCAAGCCCGTGGCTTCGGAGTGAAAGCGCCAGCTTTTCGACTGGAAGGGGTTCGGCCTGGAATGTGAGAGGGATCCCTACCGGGTAGGTGCAGCCTGGAGTGTATCCCTGAGAAGTCCTTCTTCTGCGGTGGTCAGCCGCCCTGGAAGTGCGAGGGCAACTACGAGGCCGAAGCCTTCTCTTGGGCTTAGACTCGTTTCAGTTTGGTTGAGCCTGGAAGTCTTGGATTGTTGAGGGTAGCCTTTTCAGGTCGGTTTCCACGCAAACCGGAAGCCGCAACAACACGCGTTTTTTGGGGGGGCCGTTTTTTTTTGCACACACATTGTGAGATTCCACGGATTTCAATTTGGTGCTAGGTGGGGACCAACAGCTGGCCTGCAGATGTGTCTCTTGGCTCATGGGGGCACTTTGGCAGGTCGAGGATGGAGAGATCGAAATGGAGGTGACCAAGCCAGACGTGGTGGGGCCCCGCCGCGATTCAGATGCCGGGCAGCCCAGTCGATAAAGAGTTGCCTGGCGAGGGAAGCAGTTTGGGCTCCAGTGGGAAGCTCAAGAGCCCAATAGAATTAGTCAACCAAATCATTAGTTAAGGAATCCCCCCACCCTACACAAAGGGCCGTTCCGAGGGAGCCTTCCCCAATTGCCCTTTCGAAAGCAATGGGGGGGGGCCACAGGTTTCTGCCTATGGACCATGCAGTGCCCACTTTGAGGATTTGATTGGTACACTGGGAATCCCTGGCTCTTGCAACGATGCACCTGAGGACCTTCCCCATGGGTAGGTCCCGATCGCTTGCGCCACATGTGAATCCGAAAGGAGCCAACCATTTAGGGCCCAAATCGGGCCATTTAGCCCCCAAGCTCTTTGGTCTTCATCCCCATTTTCCCGGAACCAACGGGTCTTCCCCGAGGCGCCAAACATTTTCCCCCGCCGCTCCGCGAGGTGAAGCTGGAGGCCTCCGAGTCCAAGCCGGAGGTCACCTTTCGGCAGACGAGGCTCTCCTGGGCCCCAGCCTCGACGCCGACGGCGCGTAGCGCGTGGGTTTCGGGAAACGCCCTGGGCGGTTGCAAGCGGGGTTGCGTTTTTTTCGACCCCGACGGAAAGGCAGCCTGGTAGATGCAAATGCCCCAGGTCGGTTTGGCTGAAAATTGATCTCATTGGTTTCAGGCTGGTTTCAGGCTGGATTCTATTTCTGCAAGTGCCATCGGTTTTCTAGATGGAGACCCAGGCGACCCAGGCGATGCGTTCAGCTTCAATCTGCGGGTTGCAATTGGCTGAGGTGGGATCCCCACCGCCGCTGCCCTCACAGGACCCGGCCAAGTTGAAGAAGGCGTGCCAGTGAAGTCACCGTCCCCAGCGTGTCACAGCGTGGTTTGCCTTGCCCCAAATCATATCGTCGCTCGCAAGGCAGGATTTAAGGCAGATTTCATGTTGAGATCTACAGGAGAGACTGTGGATTTTTGGGCTTCCGAGGGGCAACTTGAAGAAGTGCAGGCAGCTTGTCAAGCAGCTCCAGGCTACCTGTCAAAACCGTGCAGGCACAGCTGCTGAAGGAGGAAGAAGAAGCCGCCCGGCGCAAAAGCGAGCTTGATGCCGTGCGTGAGGAGTGCAGGAATGGGGAAGCATCTGAACTCATAAATTCTTGGACTATAGCCTGCTTGCCCAGGAAGGATGCAGCATGCTGCTCAACATGAGTTTTGTGCAAAGCCTCCCGTGCCCAATTGACATGCAAAAGGGGTTGCCGTTGCACATGGGTGCGGGCAGGAGCTGGAGCGAGAAAAGGCACAGCAAGAAGAGCTTGCGCAGAAGGAGAAGGCTGGAAATTCTGACGCTGTCACTTCAATTTGGCTTGGAATCAAAAGCAGTGCTTGATTCCTTGCCCCTTCTTCCGGATGGTAGTGGTTTCCCTTATTGTGCCACTACGGATTGACTAGGATTATGGATCCGGGAGCCCGTGTTGAGCATCTCAAGAAGGACCGACGGTGGATGCTAGCGACAGTTGAGCGACGCCCTTCTAGAGCTCGCCATTCGCATCCAAGGCTTATCCACACCCCAGGCCAGGCTGATTGACCAAAATGGTTGCCTGTAGTGGGGTACATCTTCTCCCTCCACGGACGACATAGGGGGCGATAGCACCTAGCTCGGTTGGTTTCCCGCCCAAGGCAGTGAAGTTTGGCGCTGCGAACGATAGACATTTGTGTGCTGAAAAGTTTAGCACTTGTTCAACACCCCTTGACAGTCGGAAGGTACGGGCCCTTTTCTTCGAACCCCATGGCCTTCTGTTGTTTCTTTCCTTTTTTCTCGCAGCCCATAGGCAGGGAACACTCCCAGAAAGCAAACTGCCCGCCCGAAAATCGGTTCCGAGCTTCATGGGCTTCTCGCACATGGATGTTGGGCTTGGCAAGTGAAAGTCCCAGCATGTCCCAGCAGTTCTCCAAGCAGAGACTACTTGGCTGTGGCTCAAAAAACTGGTACCAAAATGGAACCCTGGTAAGTGGAAACATGGACCAACCTGCGTAACCCCTCCTGGTTAATTTTGAGCCACACCCACTTCAAGCGGAACTTCCTATTTTCTCCTGCCCACCTCCACCGTTGGAACATAGAGGAAAATGGTTCAACCGATTAGCTTCACGGATAGAACGGAAGCCAGAGGCAATGCGGCCCGGATCCGCAGTCCAGTCCCTTCCTGAGCTCTTGGACCTTGGCGAGCCAAACGGATTCTTGCAGATTCACATCAGGTTGACCTGGCCCCAAGCGCCATGATGTTTCCCCAAATCTCCTTTTGGGGGCTTCCTATGTGTCCGTTCCTTCGGCCAATTTCGAGGGAGCGCGCCAAAAACCCATCCCGCCGCAAATCGGGAGGCGGAGCTGGAGCTGCTGCGGTCAGAGCTGCGACGCCAGCGGGAAGCGCAGGAGGCGCGCGGAGGATAGCGGAGGTTCGCGCGCGCACGTGGGCGCTCGACCAGGGCCGGTTGCAAAAGAAACGAGCAGCCGTGGTGTCAGTCCCCAAAAAGAAGCGCTGAAGTTTGCTTCAAGAGCAAAGGCGTGAAACATATTGAAACTGGGCTTGTCTCAACCCTGCTTTTCCTTGTTCTGTTGGCTCTCTCTCTCTCTCTCTTTCGGTGTCCCTTTCTGACAAGTTTTTGTTTGCGAAATGAAATGGGGCACCTTTCAAGCGCAGCGCTGTCAGGCTACGACTGAAACTTTAAGTCACTGAGACTTGAGTGCTCAAGACGGCTACGCGCCAGCGCAAGCTCATCTTCCAGCCATGTTGGCTTGTTTTGCCCTTCAGCAGAACGGTCCCCTGCTCCAGAGGTAAGGAACCGGGGGTCCTCTAGTTGTTTGCCTCAGGAAGTCTCAAGAAGTTGAATGTATAACCAAGGTATGTGGCAGCCACTTGCTTCGTGATGTGAATCAACTTGTTTGGACCTTCAAACATGGTGTACCACCTGTGGCTTTGACTCCTCAGCTTTCGAAATCTAGGAACATAGGAACCAGGGTTGCAAATGCTTGGAACCTGGCTTCAGGTGGTTCTATAGTGAAACCACCTGCATTTGGGGGGGGGACTTGTTTAGGAGTTCCTGGTCAATTTTCAGGGCGAGTGCCACAACATCCTAGCTGACCTATGCTGACTTGGAGCCGACTGGATGGATCTCTCAATGCACAACTATTGCGAGACCTGTTGAACTCTCATTGGTAAACCGTAGAATCCCTGCTTATGATCTGTTGTTTTAGTCGGTTCTTTGGTGCCAGGGCCGGCTTTTTTTGGTGATGTTCAGCGAACGCCTATTTGTTTGATCACCCCCAGGTGGGTGTCTCTTTTTCCAACGTGCTCATGGAGTCAGTGGGCGATTGTGGGGGTTCCCAAAAAGGACATTAGTCGTCCAAAGCCCTCCTCTCGGCAAAGAGGGCTACCCTTGGTTGATTGCAGCGGCGTCACATTTCATCGGGAATCCGTCTTTCACTTCTGCACCTTCCGGGCTGATAAATCCATTAATCTTGGGTTTTTCACACCGCCACTTTCCAGCTCGCCGTGTCAAAAAGCAAAAACCAGACCGCGCGGAGCCGCCGCGCCGCCGCCGCGTGTCGCGCTGCGAAGGCGGAGGCTGCGCAGCGCAGGGCGGAGCTGGAGAAACAGAAGGAGGAGCTTCGGGCCATCGAAGAGGCGCACCGAGGGGCACCGAGCGACGAGGTCCAGCCAACCAGGTGCCCAAAGAAACCGTTTCTTTTTTGGTGAGGGTTCCCCTACGAAAATAGACAGAAAAGAGTAAGGGTACCCTTATTCTAACCTCTCTACTGGAGGACCTGGCTGAGAAATTGGGCCAAAGCAATTGGCAAAGGAAACCCGGGAAAAGCGCCTGTCTTTAGCGCCTGTTTTCGGTTTTGCTCATGTCTCCTGGGAGTGGGGGGGGGGGATTTTTTCGCTGGCCTTCTATTTACAACATAGGACTTGAACATTTAGAAGGAGGGTGTTTGAGCAATAGTTCAATCGTGGGTTTTTCACCAGCGGTGTGCCATTGTGCACAAATGGTCTCGGGCCAGGCCGAAGTCTTTGCTTCAGGGAGCTAGCTGAGCAGACACCATGCCAGAGCATGTGTGCTGACATGAATGTATACGTATTGTATACGTGCATCTGGCAAGTTAAGCTGCGAGCATGTGGGCGAAGCTGTATGTGCCTGAACCTGAGCCGGTTGGAACATGGTGCATCATCATCCTTAGTGGAATCCCCATTTTGCCACAGGACAATCGCGACCACTTTTGGCGCCACCCGGTTTTTGGGCTGTCCCTATCCCATTTTTCCACAGCCTAGACCAGGGTTGTGGTGGCATCAAGGGGTTTCTCTCCACTTGTGAGAACAGTTGGAATCTTCCCCATGATTTGTTGTTTTTTTTTGGGGGGAAGGGTTAGTTTTCTTTTTGTTTTGGGGGGGTTAGTCTTTGGGAGTTGGCCCCTTTCGTTGTATCCCACCGTTGGCGGTCAGGAGAAGGCTCGCCTGGCCAAGCTGCGGGAGGAGGAGCAGCAGAGCCAGCAGCAGCAAGAGCTCGAGGCGCAGAAGGTCTTGGAGGCGCGGAGGCAAAGACACGCCACGCGCGCGTTTCGTTGAAGAGAAACGCGGTGAAGCCATGCCCTTTTTGGTTGGTTTGAATGTTTGGGCGGCGTGTGTTTACCTAAATTGATGCCCCGTTGGGTAAAAGACTGCCCTTTGCCTCTTTTTGTTTTGCCCCGTTGGTTTTGTCCAACCGTTTCCCGTTGAAGCAGTCAAGCTGGGCGACTCGCTGGCTGAGGAGGTGCGGCAGCAGAGGGAAGCGCTCAAGGCCCTGGAGGAAGAGCGCCAGGCAGAGTTGAGTGGGCGAAGTTCGGAACCACTTTTGGCGGGGATTGAATCAACATGTCGTCTCCAAAAGACGTCACTGGCCCCCAAGCAAGCAAGCAAGCAAACAACCAAGCAAGCAAGCAAGCAAGCAAGCCAGCCAACCCACCAACCCACCAACCCACCAACCCACCAACCCAGGCAACCACCAGCCCAACCACCCACCAACCATTCACCCCACCATTCGACTCCTGGCCCTCACTCGGATGTTGTGCCAAACCTTGCCGACGTTATGGCGAGCTTTGGGGGTAAAACGAGCTCAGTGTGTAGGTCCTGCACTTGGAGCTCCAACTGTTGACTCACTGGCTGGATCTATCGAATTGACATCCTCAAAGTATCTCAAAGTTATTCTCCAAGCGGCGGTGTTAATGGACGCCACCGAAACGAACAAACGAAAAACCGGACCTCAGCAGCCACAAGGAAACCCTGAAGAGCCCTGTGAGACCCCGGAGAAACCTCAAGAAGTTCTTTCTGGCGTTGGAAGTGTAGAATGTGCAGATTTCAGGTTCCACGTGAGTTTTTCCTATGCTTGCCAACGGGGGGCGTGCCCCCAAAGCCCAATAGAGGCTAACAGCGACCAAGGCCTATCAGGGGTCGTTGTGACTTCCTATTGGGTGCTTCTCTTCTTCTTCTTTTTTTTGGGGATGGTCCATGCTGTGGGATATTGTTTGCTTCCAGCTGGGGTTTACCAAGTCAAACATGTCCATCTCGCCGCCCATGTCGATCAAAGTGCCAGGAGCTTGCCAAGCGCGAGGCTGGGGAGCAGCAGCGGCGCAAGGAGGAGAGAGGCTGCCATGTCGGACCCCCCTGGTAAATGGAATGAAACCCATCTAAACCAGTGCCTTCTATTTTTGACCACACTAACCTAAAAAAGGACACCTATAACCGCAAGTCTAGTAACTTCTGACCTGATCCGCCTGGTTCCCCCAAAGACCTGACAAGGCCTGCTTGGGGCCTTACTGTTGGCAGACCAATCCCCTAAGCGACAGACCACGTGGATATTGATTGTGGCAAATGTGGTCTTCGGGAATCTGACTTGGCCAAGGAATGCCCCTGAAGAGTGATACAATCATTGGGATTGGCAATCTCACTTTGGTCCATGTTCCATATCCGGGGGGTACAACGGGTGTGGCAGATGTAGGGGGGGCCATGGTAGCTCCATCACGTGCAAAAACCCGTGCGAGGAGCAGGAAAAAGAAGCTACACGCATGGCAGCCGAGGCCGGTTGCCAAACGTGTCACTTCAGGTTCTGGATTTGGGTCACATTTGTGTGTGTGTGTGAGTTATTTTGGTATGGTACTCCCTTTTGGCCGTTTTTTGCTCGGAACAAGCCAAAGCAAGACGGGGGGGGGGTGCAAAGGAGATTCCAGGGTAAAAAATCGGGATCGGGCTCCGAGGTGCGCTTTTTTAGGCTGGCTTGGTTAGACACAGATGGCTTTCACTGGTTTAAGTTGGTTTTGGGGAACCACTTGCCAGGGAAAGCCATCTATTTTTCCACAAGATCACCTATGATCGGGCTCCAGATCCAAAAAACAACATGTTACGTTTTTCTCCCGTGAGCTCAGGTGCTATGTCTCAGCTATCCCTTAGTCGGCGGTTTGCATGGCTTGGGGCGCGCGGGAAACGCAACCATTCCGCACGCGTGGTTAGGCGGAGCAGCACAAGGAGGAGATCCAGCGGAGGCGGTCTGAGCTGCAGACCCTTGAGGCGAGCTCGTGAGGGGGTGCGGCCGGGGGGGCCGGGGTATTGGGGTATCTTGGGGTCTATCAAATTTATAATTTTGGGTATTGGCTGTTTCGGTGTTTGCTTTTCTAGCTATGGGGCTTTTGGTTGGGTATCCATTGCTTTTGGCTCTTTTGGGGTATTGGCTTTCAGGGTTTTTGACCGGTCCATGCTAGAGACCTGGTTTGCCTGGTCTTTGGGCCGAGCCAAAAGATGAAGTGGAAGTCAACAAAAGGCTGGGGGGTTGCAACGCCAGGGTCCCCGTGTGTTTGACTGTTTGGGTTGTTTGCACGTGATTTGGCCACATGCGATGGAACGCAGTCATGCACAACACACCCCGTGCGCTTGCTGTTGGTTTGCGTCGGTTGAAAGCGGCGGCTGGCTGTAGCCTAATCGTCTAGCTCTCTACAACGAGGCCCAGGAGTTAGACACTTCTCAACTTCAGCTGGGGCATTGAAACCAATCTCCGGTTGGATCAGTCACTAGATAGGCTCGTTCAGACATCGGCCAGCCCCACCTTGTCCAGGCTGCCAGGGATGAGGTCTTAGCGAAGAAGATGGAGGAGGACGCCCTTTGTGCCGGGGGGGGGGGAGAGGGAGAGAGAGAGAGAGAGACAGCGAGAGAGAGAGAGAGAGAGAAAGAAAGAAAGAAAGAAAGAAAGAAAGAAAGAAAGAAAGAAAGAAAGAAAGAGAGGGAGAGGGAGAGGGAGAGGGAGAGGGAGAGAGAGTGAGAGAGAGAGAGTTACAGAGAAAAGTAAGAGAGAAAGACAAAATAGGGGGTGCCCATCTTGCCAATGGCGAGCGTACAGGGAACACCAATGGTGAATCGATTACTTCGCTGCTCTTGTCACTTCGTGTTTGCTCGTCGTTTTGTTCATCGGCGCTGCACTTGCCCGCTTTGCGAACATGCCCCAAGCGCGCCCCGTCGATCCTTCACCACGGGCTCGAGCATTTTCTGGGCAGGCGGCTGTTCATTGACTCAAATGGTTTGTGGCAAAATGGAAAGGAGACTCTCAGTTCCGGCTGGACATCTAAGAAAAGCTTTATTGGAAGCCACCAGGCCACCAGGAGGTTGCAAGTTTGGAAGGGCAAAAGGAGGGTCGAACAAACCAGGCGTGGGCAAGCGGGTTGGAACATGGCAGTGTTAGAGCACCAACAGGAAGATGAGGTGCAAATGATAAGGACTTGGATCCTTCAAATCAGCTTGGGCGCATTTGTTTTTCTTCAAGGGGTCCTGTGGTTTAATTTCTGACGTCCCCCGACAGGAGCAGCGATTCACCTCTGAGCTGCAGAGGTGGGCGGAGCAGCAGCAGGAGGACGCGGGAGGGGCGTCTTCCAACGTTTCACCCTGGTGATACTCTTTGGTGCATTTTGCCAAGGGATGTTAAAACTTTAACTTTTTGCCGACTAATGGGTTTTCCATTAAGCCACTAAAAGTTAAACTTTTAGCATGGGAGGCTCAGTTCGGTACATGGACAGCAAAATGGCGTCGCTGGGTCATGGTTGTTGCAGCTGTGTTAGGGAATTTGTGGTCAAGGGAAGCTCTGACGATGCAGTTAGTGAGGGATGCATGGGGATGCAAATCCCACGTTGATATTGCTATTCCACCCTGAGTTCTTACTGCCCCCGTTTTGGACTTTACTGAAACCAGCAAGTTCAACTTTGGATTTGGTGATTTTTAGTGACTGCTTCGTGCAAGGGAGCGCCCACCGGTCCCTTCACAACACATGGTTGGATGCTCAACCCACTGAGTAAGCAGGCTAGTGCCATGGTAATCATTGTCGGGGACTTTCGGAGGTTATTTATGACTCGTACAAGGGGTGATACTGCCTCACCGGCCCATATTGGTGGTGTGTAAGCATACCTCCCAAGACCATACCTGAAAATGCCAAAGGCTATTAACTCAGTGGGTTAGTTGCCAAGTTGGCGGAAGTTTCTCCAGGAGCTCCGGAAACACCGGGAAGAGCTGCGAGCGTTGGAGGAGCGAACCGGATTGAGGGCTTGGTGTCAGCTACGGTTGGCCTTGTCCACACCAGAGACCTGAACTGAAAGTGAGACATTGTTCTTTCTTTCTTTTTTTCGTGGCCTGCTTCAACTCTTGTCGGTTGAGCCTTCTTGCCCCCCTTTGAAAGGAACACGGGTATGGCTAGTCAAGCACCTTTGGCCCCGACCCGAGACTGGTGGGACGCTGCTCTGGCACCTGCTCAAGGTATGTGGCTAGTCCTCACCTCGCCGAAAAGGCAACGACCCTCGCTTCAGAAAGCGTGTTCAGTGCGGTACACGAGTACCACTGGGGCTTTGTTGCTTCAATTTGACCCTTGAAACCAGGGGTTGTGCGTTAGTTGGTCTCGGGCAACGTGAACGGGTGCGCAGGCAGAGAGAGAGGAGGTCTTGCAGAAGAAGCTAGAAGAGCAACAGCGGCTGCGGGAGGCGGAGAATCGCTCCCCCCCACGCTAATCCCTGCCGTTGGTCGGTAGGGAGCCAACTGGAAAGCACCCATTTTTTGAAGCCCTTGCTTGCGCGATAAATGTTTAAACGCCCAGCCCTGGGTCAGTTCAAGCCATGGATAAAACAGGAGGGCCTTCTTCCAAGAGGGACAAACCCAGCTGCCAAGAGTCACATCGTACCCGAACCGGAGTTTGGAGGGCGCAACTCCTGCGGGGGCTTCGACCTTTCGGTTTCTCAAAGCGTTTGGGGTCGAAGAAATGGGCCCTGCCATGGCACCGTCTCCAAGGGCCTTTCTGTATCAGAGAGACATGTCTCAAGTCTTTGGGAGGGAAGACGTGCGCCCGTCTTTTCCCGGGGCGTCCTTTCCGGTTTCCGGGGCGTCTTCGGGCTCGGCGCGTCGGTCCGGACGGTCCGGGCATCGCGACGTGAGGCCCAGGAGCAGGAGGCGCAGCAGGCCGCGGCGGAGCGGGTGAAGCGCCAGGAGGAGGCGCTGAAACAGGAGGAGGAGATCCACCGCAAGCGCTCCTCGGCCTCGAAATTGGATTCAAGAACTTGGGGAAAACGACTTGGTGGAGTTCCCATCCGGGTTTTGAGGTGTTCTCAGGTTTTGGGTTGGTTGAGTGGTGTTGGGTGTCCATTTCCATCTAATGTGTTTAGGTGTTTGGGGTTTTGTGAGGTTTTCCCATTTAACCCACTAAACGAGTTCGAATGTGTTCGACTTCTAGCACTGAGGACAGCCAGAAGAGGAAAGCCACCTTTGTGGGAATTGGATTTTCTGACTCATATGTGAGAACCAGTCGGCTTACCCTCAATCTCATGAGTTGGGTTTGTTCAAGTTGTTGATGACCATCTAATCCACCACCCAGGCGATTGCGTTTCCTTGCTGGACGGCTGGAGCGGTTGCAACTGGTTTGAAAGTCTGACAGGGGGAAATTACGGATGGCTCCGGCAGGTAGAGTTCAACTTTGCAAGTAGCCAATTCCAAGGCACACGATATCTTCATCCATGCCGCTTTCTGGAGTTGCACGATTGCCCAACCCGATTTCCAGAGTCCTTGCCTGGAATGATTTAGTTGGGTTTGTTTGAAGGAGCTTGGGTGGGAGACTAGAAGCTTTTCGACAATGAAATCGAAGAGGTAGGTGGTCACAAGCCAGAATTAGCAAAGCGGGGCCCCATGTTCGGAGGTTAGGAACAGGGACCCTCCTCCTGATTTCCCCGAAAAAAATATCAAACAAACAAAGGTTAGGTTAGAAGCCAGACCCTCCACAGATCAGTTTGGTTTGGACACAGATGGCACCGGATGGCACTGGCTTCAGTTTGGCATAAGTTTTCTATTCATGCGCAAGTGTCATCATCCATTTCCGCCAATCGGCCGAGGTCCTAGGCCCAGTTGCTTGGCATTTGGAAACGCACTGGTCGGCATTTCGTGCCACTGTGGAGAGTGAAAGGGCACTTCAAACCGCATCAAAGGGGGGAAAGTGGATTTGTATGGATTTCTTGGTTTTTGGTTGGGGGGAAGGTGGATTTGTATGGTTTTGTTGGTTGCCATCCTTGGCGCAGACATGCGGCCTCGAGAAAGCCAACTGCCTTCGCCTTCGCGCCACCAGGCAGAGAGCTCGAGGAGCTGGAAGCAGAGCGAGAAGCAGCGAGGAGGCGGCGATTTTTTTGCCTCGTTATGCCAAGAGATGGGGAGCAGGGCATGGGAGCCGTTTTGGGGTGAGGGAAACGCTCTTGCCACTTCTGGTGCCTCCACAAGGAGCGCCGTGTCCCCGCAAAAAGGGTGCAACTGAGTCTCGGCACCTTTCTTCCAAAGCGTCGCATGCGTGGCAGCCGGCCCCTCCTCTTGGGCTGAACTTGAGTCACCGTCATCTCTAGGCATGGCAGTCGTAGAATGCAAGCCTGTAGCCACGTGGGCACGTGGGAAGTCCGTGTCCCATGATTTGTGCTGATAGCGCCGCCAAACCAGTAGCGAAGTGGCAACTGTCGCGCGGGTACATACTTGGCCAGGACTGGCAAGGGTGCTGGGTTGACCTGCAGAAGTACGAACGTACAAAGGGGTGCGCATGTTTCAGGGCACCCTCCCCATACATCCCAGTTAAGAGATTGATAGAGGTCCTGTGAACAAAGCGAGGCAAACAATTTGAAGGTGTCTAAAAGTACCCTCCCCAGGCTAACATGGAAGCTCCAACGACTCCTTTGGAAAACTTGGTTCCATGTACAGAGGCCTTCTGGGAGCTTCCATGTTTTTGTGTTTTGTTGGTTTGCGGTTGGGGGGGGGTAGTTGGAACAACTGATCGTTTTGCTTTTCCAAAGGTGGGCTCGTTTGGAATCCTTGGAACCCGAGGCTCAGAGAAGAGGAGGAGCACCGTCGCGAGCTGGAGAAGGTGGGGTTCCCATCAAAATTCGGAGCCCAAAGAACGGTGTGTGTGTGTGTGAGTTTATCCTGTTTAAAAACATGTTTTGTCTGGTTGCGCAAGCTTCACAAATGATGAACCATGAAGTTGCCAGAAGCAAACATTTGGTTGGGGCAAATGCTGAGGTAGTTTTGACCTCTCTTTTCGCAACGGTTTTCTGGCTGGTGCTCGGTAGGGAGTGAGGGAATGAACCTGGGGCTTCTCCTAAAGGAATCCACAAGAGACTCTTGTTTATAAGGGTCATTCCCTTATTCCCTGCTGAGCACCTGCAAGTGTTTTTCCTCAACAGGAGATGCCTCAAGTTTCTGTTTGACGTGAGCCAACATTCTATTTTTTGAGAACGGCGAACGCCTCGTTTTTTGGCCCGGGGAACGTTCAAGGCGTGGATGGGGCGCTAGGCGTGTCTCAACCCGTCGCAAAAAAGTATGAGTTGGTCCCTTTTTGGGGGAGATTCAAGATGCGTGGTTTCCGTTTGGTTTCCCGCCAACACACGCCGAGCCCAAGCCGAGCCCAAGGCGAGGCAAGCCGCGGATGAGGAAGAGCGGGCTCGGTTGGCAAAGGCCATCGAGGCCAGCCGTTTCGGATCAACCTCAAAATTCGGCAATGGATTCATTTGGCCATGAATTTTAATAAGGAACCACCTCAACAGTGGTTGGTGGGCACAAACTCCAACTTAAATGGTGTCCACCCCAGGGCCCCTTTAGTCAAATTCACTCCCATGTCTGCCTTTCTTATAGTGAGCTCACCGATTTGGGCTTTGGTAAAGCGAGCGAATTCCATGGTAAAGGTCTTTTACTCTGGTATCCGATTCTGAATTCAAAATTGGACATATTGTAAAATTTGCAGATTCATGGCCACAAACTGTCCACTTTTGAAGGGGGTCCCCTGTTAAGCTGGTTTTGCCATGTGTCTATTCTGACCCCCCTTTTGTATGATTTAAACATCCCTTTAATCAGGACTCCTCCATGAAACACATGAACGGCGGGAGGTTGATGAATTTGGGATCATATGGCTTTGAATAGTTGCGGAACCGCCCTAAAAGTGGTTAGACATGAGTCCCAACCAAAGTAAAACAGCACCCATATCTCTCATCCCCCCTGTCATGTGATTTGAACATCCCCTACGTACAATTCTGCTGGGTTTGTTGAACATCCAAGTTGCAGTGGGCTTCCTTTTGGCAGAGTAATGCTTGCAGGGAACATCTGGCAAAAACCTGACCTAGGGACTTGCAAAGGAGCTGGTCAGAGTTCTTTGTGCTCACCATGAACCGCGGCTTTTTCTTACCAGGCGGCTTCAACATCCCATGGTTTTGGCTGCGTGCTGTTCGCAGTGAATCAAGTGCGCGATTGCCTCCAAGCTGTGCAACCATTTGGACAAAGGGCTCGGCATACTCCCGGCCTAAGCCGCGAATGTGTTCACGAGTATAAATACAGCACGAGTTGTGCCAAACGCTAGGTTCCCGGCGTTGCTCAATGAATTGGCGAGTGCTACTGAGTACCCCGCTGCAGTTTATGGAATTCAAAGTTTCAAAGCACTCCTCGTTCAATTAGAGGAATGATTTGCTTCGGGAGCTCCTTGTTTGGCTCCGTGTTGATCCGGGGAGTACTTGATCGCTGGCGAGGAGCAGCAGAAGGAGATCGAGAAGCGGAACAGTGAGCTGAAGGCTCGCAGCATCGGTACGGGCATCTCTTTGAGTTCTGTGAGCGTCGTTCTAAAACCACCTGCAATTCTTCCATTTGCTGAAGAATATATGTTTTATTTTCCCCTGTTAGGTTTAAAGGAATCTATCACTACTGGACATGTTATTTTTCCAGGGTCTTAACCAAATGGAAGATTTGAAAGTAGTGGGGCAGAAACGAAACTCCCCAACAGGGGGTTATCGTTGACGTATTCGCGAAATCGTCGCGGAAGGGCCGGTTTGCCTACGCATATTTTTCTGTGTTGGCGAAAGCGAAAACGAACTTCAACCCGATGTTTCAATCCGCGAGAGCCTTCGCGAAAGAGATTTGATATTGATCTTTGGCCGCAACTGTAGGTTTAGAACACCGTTCAGGGAGGTTGTTCAGTGCTCTTGGCCACGTTTGATACCGCTTTGTTTTGAGGCCCGTGCATTTTTTGCAGGTTTACAGCAGCGAATAATGCTACCAAACCGTGGGCAAGTTTGCTCATGGCACCAACAGAGCTTCGATTCCTGGGTCCAACCGCGAGCGAGGCTTTAGATACTTTGCATGAGGAGGCCGCAGGAGAGCTCAGCCCGATTCGAATCGAATGAGTCAAACATAAATGGAAATCGCCGCATCTGGCTCACTCAGGGTAAAATGACCCATCACGTTAGCTTTTTACAGCTTTGTTGCCCAGAGACGCGCTTTGGCTGAGGAAACATAGTGGGCCCGCACAGTAAATCGAGGTCGCCCAAGATGTTGGTGCCTTTCTCCAGTGTGAATTTGAACTTGTAGGAAGACCGTGTGACCGCTGGCGGGAGGCTGCGACTAGGCCCGTCATGAGGCATTGCGGCCGAGCAAACGGAGAAAGCCTTCGGCTGGGCGTGTTGATTTGGCCCCTATGAATGTGTCAGCATTGATTTTTTGCACCGTGGAGCTCCCATAGTCTTCTTCACTTGGACAATTTGGTGCGGTGACGCGGCCGAAATCGCCCCCCCTTGCCATTGAGAAGAGGCATGAAGTCAAGTTGTGCGTTTCCTGGCTAGCTGGCTGGCCTTTGAACTTTGGCAGCAAGCTTACTTTCCAGGTGCGATATACGCTCCACGGAGAAGCACGAAGTTCGGTTTACTCTAGCCCGGGTCAAGATGGGCTGATTCCTCCCGTCGAAGACTTTTCCACCACCCCAAACCATCTCATTCCAGAATACAGTTATGTCATGATCTGACGTGGGTCCTGGTAGCTTCAATTTTGGTTGTGGAAACCATGTTCGACCCTGCGCATTTCTTCCCCTCGGCCGCGTGGCCGCCGGCTGAGGCCCAGCGCAGTCAAAGCTTCCAAGAGGAGCAGCGCGCAGAGGCGAGTCACATGCTGCGACGTGTGTGAAGGAGTCATGTATGGGACTGGCTTTATAAATCTTCTTCTGGTCTTCTTCTGCTTCTGCTTCTTCTAGCTCATTGGGCGGTTCACTGTGTCAGGGCCTCCTTGGCTGCCCGCCGGTTGCTGGTTTTGCTGCCTCAATCCCAGTGGAGAATCATGGAGAGTGCAGGGTCCCGATGGCCATTCGGCTAAAAGCGTCGCATGGATTTGGCCAGGTGGCGCGCGTGGAGGAAGAAAGGCCTGCGGCCTTGGGCGACTGGTCCTTCTGGATCAGCGGCATCCTCTAAATCTCTTTTGGTTCAGTGGGCTTGCCCACGAAAAGTCAGGCTCCCCTTGGTTGGTGGTATGGATTGGTTTGGGGATTCCACCCCCTGGTTTCCTTTGGTGGTCACCGGAAATTGGTGAACTGGAGTTGGTCTTGAAGCGGCAGAGGGCAAATGAAGCTACCCCCGGAACACCATCCAAACCACCGATTGGGCTCTCCAAACCACCGAGTAAAGTGATGAAAAGGGGGACTGATCAAGATGTTGGGGGTCCAGAATCACCAATTGGGGGTCTTAAAATTTGGGGGACTGATCTTAAAATGTTCGGGGGTCAAAAATCGATGTGTTGCTTTTGGTTTCCCTTTGGCTTCCCCACTCGAGGGAAGCTGTGGTGAGCCATAATCCAAACCCGGGCAAGTGAAGGTTAGTATGGGACAGTCCCAACCAGAATTTGGTGCGGCCGCCTTTGCTTTTTGTTTTTCACATTGGTTTGGGTGGACCATTTCAATACCGATCGGTTGTGATTGCAACTCATGCCCCCCACTTCATCAGGTTTCGGCCGGGGGTTGCGTTTCGCCAGGCTGCGACTTGCAGGAGAAGCCAAGGCTCAGGAGGCAAAAAGTTTGTCGGATGGAAACCCCAAAGGAGCGTCTTTTAAGGGACCCGTTGCGGGAGTTTCCAATCGACATGATGGCGGTATCGGATTCTTGTTTCAGTCTTGGGAAAGGAGGTAGCTTTGCTTTTGCTTTTCCCTCTTGGCCTTGAGGCAACAGGTATATTGGGCCATGCCTTATGAGAGCACCTGGAGCACACTTGCAGTTTAGGCTCAAGCTTTGCTGCACATGCTGGGCGGCTGCTTGTTTCAATGCATGCTTTACTCAAAGGACCATGTTCGTCCGAAATGCCACCCGAAGCCAAGCCAGATGCAAGGAGATGGACAAGTCAGGAACAGGCAGCATGGAGTACATTCAAGTTTATAGTCTCCTGCTATCTTCCAGCTTTCGGCCATCATGCCCAATGACGGGCAAGAAGGCGGGCGCAAACCAAACCCACCTGGCCCTCGCCTTTTGTTTCAACCTGACAAAGGCACCCGAAAAAACACGCTCATGTTCACGATGCACTTGGGGAAGCCTCATGATTTCCAGTTGTCCCATGTTGGTTTCATCACCCACGTTACTTGACGACAAGGGAGTTGTGGCATCTACTTTCCCCTAGCACGTACACCCAGTTGGCTACAGACATTTTGTTGGCGGGCAGGAATTCTGATCATTTGCATCAACCTTGCCATTCGAAATCCTGGCAGATGCAGGGGTCCCAAAATGGGCCACTTTGGAACCACGTTTCCCACCAGAGGGATTGTTCCATGAACCATGTGATTTCTAGCTGGGTGTGGCTCAAAAATGGGGCAGTTCCCAAAAATGGAATGCTGATCGATGGAAAACTAGACAACTTGTATTAATGTGGTCTTTTCCAGCTCTTAATTTTTGAGCCACAAGGTGTGTGCGTCGGAATCCTGTGCCATTCTCATCCGTCCGCATGCAGATCTCCTTTGGGCAGAGCCCCACCTTGCCAACGCGGTGGCGGAGCTGCAGCGCAACTTCGCTGAGGCATCGAGTCAGCCATTGGTGGCTTGGTGGCTTGGTGGCTGTACTGTGGATTGACGAAATAAGTTTGCACCACTTAAGGAAACCATAGTTGAAACCATGGTTGGTTGGTTTTTACGGGGGGTCATCATTCCATGGCTTTTCAGGGGGGGCAAGACCCAGTCCATCCACCGTATCACATCTTTTGGCCCTTTTATGGCGAGTATCGCTTGGTAGCGTTGGCGGGGTTACAACCCGAGCCACTCACCCAGAAAGGCTGCACGCCGAAACCCAAAGGCACTTTAAGATGCTGCGCCTTTTCCTGAGCAAACACCCCCTCCTGGAATTGTGGGCCCTGTAAATTTGTTTGTTTCTTTGGCCTTACCTTGGGCGCGAAAGAAACCTCTGGCGAACGGTGTGCTGTTTTTGTTGTTGTTTTTTAACGGCGCCTGCTTCTTCTGGTTTTGCGTCACGGTCAAGTGGCTTGCGAGTGGGGCTTTTTCTCGACCTCACCAAGGAAGGGGCTGCGACCTTCACTAAAATGAACCAGTTCATATTGTGGGGATTGTGGGTGGGACTTTGTAAAATGGACATGACGTCTCACATGCATTGATTCCCACATCCTTCTGAAACCCATTGCAAATAAAGAAAAGGGCGCCTTTGCGAATTATGCCATTCCATGGCCAACGCGCCTGGTGAGGGGGACTAAAGCCAAACTTCACGCGCCTTTGCACGTCGCTTCCCTCGGATCGGTGGGTTTCGGCCAGGTGGCGCAGGCCTTGGAGAGTCAGGTGCTCGTGGCATCCTTCCTCACACGCCACGAGCTGTCGGTAGAGAAGGCCGTCGAGGCTCCTTGATTATTTCGCGAATTCCGTCGGTGGTGTGCGAAAACCCGAGGGTCTCATTGAGCCGGTATTTTTTTACCTTATCAATGCTGACTTTGACAAGTGAACAACTGGGCGGGCGAGTTCTAAGGAAACACAAAAGCGACTCGTCACCACAAGTTTGAAGCTGGTTAGACCTTTTGGCTTTTTGGCTAAACTTCCCACTTGCCAACAACGTGAAGCAGTTTCGGCAAGGGCGGCAAGACACAATCACAAGCTCGCCTTTGGTGGGTTATGGCAATGAATTCAAGCGGGGAACACCCTCAGGCATGATGGGACATGAGTTGATCCCTATGTAAGACACCCATTCAACAGATGTATTTTATTTCCTGCAAGCCTGCAAGTTGAAGATTCCATAATATTCCATGCACCTTCCCTGCGGTTTTTGTGGACCCGTTTTGGCGAACCCACGTGCCGGTCAAAAAGACTTGAACCTCGTTTGCGAGTTCCTTCGTTCAGCATTCAGGCCTTGGTCTCTATGTTTCTCAGACTCTCAGTTGAACGCCATGCCCTTTCCGCGAATCGACCTTTCGTCTTTTTTTTGGGGGGGGGGATCGCACTTTGAGTCCATGCCGTTTTCCCACGTTGCTTTTCCCATGTTGGTTTTTCCACGGCTTTTCCACGTCCCAGTTTCAGTGAGACATTTTCCGCTTCTTTCATGGGGCTTTTGTTGTTGGCCTTGTTTGGGTTGCCCTCGTCTTACTGCTGCGTGTTCTGTCTCCAAACCCGTTTGCAGTGTTCTCAAGTCCTCCTCCCTTGTTTGGAGGCCATTGCATGGCCTTCGTTCTCAGTATGTTCTCGAGTTGCTCTTTGCTTTTGCTCATTTTTGCGGGCCGCTACAAAGAACAAGGTGGTCTGACAGTCCGGAAGCTTTCGCGTTTTCGCAAGGTCGAGTCCATTTAGCTAATGCATTTTTTGTTTATACACATATATATATATATACCGCAGGTGAACAGGAGTTGTTCCAGTGCACTCGACAGGCAATGCAGCGAACCATCAGCTGGCGCAAAGAGAGCGGAGCCTCAGAGGCGCGGTGTCAGCACGGGTGGATGAGTTGAGGTTAGAGCAAGTCATGGGTTAGATGGACCCCTAATCGTCTAATGTGTGGTTGCCACTTTTTCTCTTGTTCTCCGCTACCCCCCCTTCTTGGAGAGCCCTTTCTTGGAACTGCCAACAGCTTCCTGCAGACTTGAACCGATTGTTTGAAAGCTCGACTCGAAGAGAGCACTGCATACGACAGATCATCCCCTTCGCTGTCACCTTATTCAAGCGGGGCAGTTGCATGGCAGGCGAGGAAACAGCTGCTGGCGAAGCCCGAGATGAGGCGGGCCCATGAGCTTGGGCTTGGGGTTGCTTCCGGAACTCCTCAAAGGGATGCAAAAGGAGAATGACGGGTTTTGTGGGGTCCAAAGCTACTCTGAAAAGCAACATAAGTTGTGGTTTTGCCCTCAAACCAGTCCAATCAATTCGAGGATCAGTTGGAATGGCTGCAATTTATAAGCACGGAGCCGCTCAAAAACAGCGACCTGCCGTCACTTGCGCCGATTGCGCGGCACAGTGTGGGAAGCGTGGTGTTTAGCTCTTGCCTTTCAAGGCAACCATGCCAATGCTGCTCCCTGTTTCAGGATCCACCCTTTGCTTTAGCCGAGTTGATTCTTACCACCCCAAAAGTTCCAGTGATCCGTATTCGGTGCTGAGCAATTGAAAGCGACTAGTCCCTTGCCACCATCTCACTTCCTGAGTTCATGAACTTTAAACTTTTTGGGAAGACCATTTTAGTGGTAAATATAAAGTTTGGACTTTTTTTGGGCCATCCACTCAGCCAGTGAGCATTCCAAGGGCAGTGACGCGTCTATTTTGCCAAGCATGGATTGAAATCGCCGCCGCAAACCCGAGTCTGAGAGGGCCACGAAGGCAGAAGCTTATGTCGCAGCGCGGAGCTTTTCGGGACTACGCACTCGTCGCCAAAACACTCAAAAAGTCCAAATGGTTTCTTTGACTTCCAAATTTCCACTTTTCACTTTCCGACTTCTGAAATCCTTGCCCGGGTCCAGCCACAGGACGCTCGGGGAAAAAACACACCCATAGAATTGATACTTGGATTGATGCCATTGCTTGGGAATAGATTGGCGTCCCCCTGCCTAGCCCCAAGGCCTTAACTCGACCGAATGTTGAGCCAGTTCTCCGAGTGGAGTCGCGGGAAGGTTCGCGGACTTCCCTTTCGGATCAGAAGCCGGGTGGCCTGAGTGGGAAGTGGGCGCATGAGATCAGCAGGCAAGCCACGTGGATCCAGTTGAAGGCGCACTTTTGTTGGGATTGGGCACACACACACAGACGCACTTTCTGGTTCCCCCCGAACTGCTTTGTTTACATGACGCCTTCAGTCCTTTGTTCCCAAGCCTTTTGCAGTTTGTTTTTGTTTAAAATATATATATATATATAATATTCCTCTATTGAACCTTCTTGCATGCTAAAAAAGAACAAACCTCCGGCTGCCCCTGCCAAGGTCCTCAACTTCTTGCCGCAGTGCGAGGGTGGCCTTGCCATCGAGAAGCGCGGGCTGCCCTATGCGCTGCGCTGCACTGGACACGTGGCAAGTGGATTTTCTTTTGTATAGTTGACAGGGATGAATACTTCTGACAACCTTCCAGATTCCAGGCGGCAAGTGGATTTCTGGGCCTGGTTGGCTTCAGACGGTTGAGATGTCCATTGGTCTAATGTTACCTGGAATGTCCGAGGGCTGGCTTCCAGCATTCCACGCGGCCAGTGGCTACTTTTTGCGCCCCAGATTGTCACCAGGCCTGCCCCCAATTCGCGCGCAAAGGTTTTGCCGGCCAGAGGTTCCTGCCATTAAGCCCTGGAAACTGGAGAGCTGGACGTATTAAGCCCTGGAAACGGGAGAGCTGGACGTATGGCTTGGCAGGTCTGATTCTCTCTTACGCCTGGACATTGGGGGATTACTTTCATGGGCCAAAGCGTCTTTCGGCTGAGTGGGGCTCAGGACTCGCCGACGCGGTGGGCCTCTTTGAGCAGATCACAGAGGACCTGTTGACCTGTTGGCTCTTGGCCTGGGATTTGCATCAAGCTTCCAGCAAACAGGGGAACTATAGGGGCAGGTGTGATCCTTAGGGAGAGCACTGCAATGGTGGCTTCACTGCCAGCCTTTTGTCTCGGTGCTCATTAGAATGATTTGCTTAGGGGTTCCGGACGCTCTTCAGGACAACCTGATGCTCTTCCAGATGTACTTGTTGCTGGGCTGCACGTGTCGCCTTTGAAGGGAGACTAAAGGACGTGTCAACAACAATGGTCTAATATGCTTTCAGCGAGATTCAACGAGGGCTTGAGTTGCCCAACCCGGCTTGTGTTAGTGTTGCCAAATTGGCAAGATCTTCGGGATGGGTTGGCAGCAGAAAGTGCTGTGATAGGCCAAGGGGCATTTTTTGTCTTTCACCTCTGGCAAGTTCTCCGGACAAGCCACCGGCTGACGATTTGAGATGGTTCCTTTTGACCTCGAGAAAATCTTGACTGTGTAGCCGTGTTCGTTTTTCTGAGCTGTTCAAAGCCAGCCCTTAATCTCGTGGGTAACGCAAGGGGTCCCCCTTTGTAGTAGTTTCTTCCCAGGGATGAAGAGTTAGGATTGGCCACCCCTCATCTTCAATGCTGTAAAGAACAGACGGCTTTTTGCTCACGCTCGTCATGCCAAGATTCGAACAGATGGGACATGGTTTCAACAAAAACTCACTGGAAGTCAACCAAAACGGGGTTTGGGGCTTATTTCCCTGGTTCGCTGGTTCTGAGACCGCGCTGGCTTTCGCGGAAAGGAATGAATGGCGGCTGCTGCAACTGGAGCATCACGCTCATGAGACTGGACAGCTGTGCGGCGTGCTCATGGTCCAGGCGCTTGGCTACTCAAGAACGTCCCTCTTGGGAAGTTTTCTCAGAGTATATTTTGAACATATCTGAATTTTGCAGTACCCAGAGATGTGGACCATCCTGGAACCCTATTCGAAGCCCTTATTTTGCAATCTCATTTTGGGGCCCCCAAAGTGCCCGTCGTGGGACGGCATGTTAATTCAGGATAGTTTTGGAAGCATGTTGGTGCTGGGTGTTATCCAGGGCGGGCGGTTTTCTTATCAGAGCTTGTCAATTGCGTTTGGGGTGGCAAAACAGCTGGCGCTCCTTCAGGACATGTTTGCCCCTGCTGGGCTCCTGAATGCGCCCGGGCCGCATGGTCGGATGTGTTTTGAATCAAATCTGAGCAACACATAGCGTCGTCACCAAGGGCATGGCGAATGTTTGCGATGTCATCCTTCGAGAAAGGTTACAAGGTTCGTTTCTTGCGTGGGTTATTTTACACCCAGAATCGTTAGTGACCAGCTTTTGGCAGACCAATTGTTGCACCGAGGTTTGGCGCAAGCAGCACCAGAAGGCCGCAGTGATGCGGCGAGTGACCAGCATGATGGATGAGCACTATCCAGGCGGCTGGCAGCAGAGGGCCAGATCCCAAAGTTCTGAAACCTAATTCATCCATGCAATCTCCAAAGATGCCATGCGGTGCGAGTTGGTTTCGCCAGGCCTTATGGAGCTTGCCTTTCCAGAAAGCTTGCCTTTGCTTTTAAGATGCCATGCCTTTCTGGGTTCGCCAGGTCTCATGGAGACAGTGCTGCTGGCAAATGCTCCGTGGGTCTTGAATGCGCTCATGAAGCTTGTCACGCCGTTGATGCCTCCCAGAGTTGCGCCCTGGCCGGAGCGCCTTTGAGGGACCCCTGTGGGGGGTTGCTTTAAGGGCAAGGCGAAGCACCCATCTTAACTTGACTGCTACTGGGTTGGATCTTTAGGCTTTAACTTTTTGGTTGAAATCAAGTTGGGTTTTCCACAACCCCCAAAAGTGATCCACTTTTTGCAGGGGGGTCAACAGCAACCAAGTTAAGGGGTTCCGTTAGAGACACGCCCATGCTTGGGACTGGACGCGCGTGGCGATGCAAGGTGAAGAAGGTCCAGGTGGTCTCCGTCCCTGAGACGGCGGCAACACTGCTGCAATGAGGTGATTTGCTATTCGCCGTTTGAACTGAAAGACACACCAAACGAGAAACTCATTGTGTTGGAGACCCCCCACTTGCAGAGAGATCCACTTGTCTGAGGAAAAGTTGCTGGAATACATTGGGCCAGAGCATTTGCCCTGCTTCCTGGGAGGTTGGGCAACCGGATCGCAAGCAACGCCATTCAGGTAAGCCTTATTTGGTGGTTTGGATTGGTGGTTTGGGGATTTGAACCCTTGATTCTTGTTGCGAGCAAGTGGGAAACCCCCTAGCTTCCAGACCACCAATCTAAACCACCAGAGGGAATCTGAAAGGTAAACCAACTAGGGAACAAAACCCAGGGAATCCACCCAAAATCACTAAACCACCGGGCTCCAAACCACGCCGTTGGACCGATCGAGCCGGGTGCGGCAGGCCTCGGCAAGAACGAGGACTTTGTGGCTGCTCGAGCCGCGCTCCTGACAGCTCCAGGCCCCGCGCTGGGTGACACGGAGCTGGTTGGCGTCCCTTGTGAATCTGTGGGCCTGTCTTTTAAGGGATGGGGACCCAAGCAAACTGGTGGGTTTGCAGGTTTGGAATCCACCGGGGGGTATGGGAGACTGTGGGAAGAATCGGGGATTCCCCCTTTGCGTTCCCTTTTAGAGCCACGAAAAAGCACTGGGCACCCTCAAGAAAGACAGCCGCCTGTTGAATCAGAAAGGACGCACCAAACACGCGGCTTTGGTGGTATTTTATTTCAGAGTGATGCGGTTCCCTGAGGCGCCGATCTCTTTGTCAAGGCGGGCGGTGTTGAGGAGCCACTCGGCTACTCAACAAGTCGAAATCTCAGGTGTCCTTTTTGTCCCAGGTGTCCTTTTTGGTTAGTTGTTTTAAAATGGATGGCACTGGTTGAGATGGGTTTCATTTCATTTACCATGGCCATCTATTTGTCCAAAAGGCCACCTATGGTCGAAATTGGTTCCCAGGGCCGCCTTTTATTTCCGCTACTCCATGTTTCTCAGACGCGGAAGCCAAAAGATTCAACATGTGAGTCCCCTCTCAAAACGAGGAAGTGGATTGTGGCTCAGGCAACGCTAACGGAATCTCACTGGCTCTCGTGCCATTTTCTGAAATGATGTTTTGTTGTTGTGCCCTGTTGTTTTTTTCAGGGAATCTATCACTGCTGGAAATATAGGTGCTTTTCTTCCGGGGACTTAAGCAAGTGCAGGTTTTCATTTTGATAATGTCCCCCCCTCCCCAAAAGGTCAAACCTCACATTGAAAGGGTTCCGGGAGAAGGTGGGTGGTAGAAGGTTGTAGATGGCAGCTGTGCGGGATATTGGGCCGGAATTGAAATCAGATGTTTGTTTCTGTGCGGGAAAATGGTTCAACTGAACGCCCGCACCACTAACTCTAGTTAGGGGTGGTCCCGGCGGCCCGTGTCAGAGTTTAGATGTGTTTAGTGTTGGATGGAAGACGCTTTTTGGGCACGGGTGGTATTTAGTTTATCCAATGTTAACATTATGGTAGTTGAATGGCATACCTTGGCCAATGAAGGACTGAGCTGGGCGCTGCTATAAACCTTTGGTTCGCCAAGTGGTTTTGGCAAGGGGGCTGAAGTTTTCGCATACGTCATGCCATTTCATTTGTTCGCTTGTTGAAGCAGGCTTTTCAGAAGTATGATCTGAGCTCATTGCCCTTGCTCAAGCCTTTGATGTACAGCATGCGCTTTTTTCCACGTGAACCCCCTTGGCGTGCCTACCTGTCTTTCGTGCTTGGGCCGGGCAACGCGATACCAAACGTGAAACTTCCTCAGCGCCTCTCTGCTGCTTCCATTTGAGGCAACGCTTGCAGCTGGAGCAGGGGGAGGTGGCAGTATTTGGCTTCAATGTGGGCGCAGGCAGTGTTCGCGTGCTGGGCAGAAGTCCTAGGAGTGGATTCGCGCACTGGTTTCAGCCATCGTTCCTTTCAACACCCAGCCAAGTCCACTGTTTGGCAGTTTTCCGGAAAGAAAGGCTCCCTCAGAAAGGAAGTTGCCCCTTGGAAGTCCGCTTGGATAGGGTCATGTTGCCCCGCATCGAATGTCACCGACTGTTTTGTTGATAGCCTTTGGATTTTTTGGACTTCGTGTGAAAAGTGCCTGCGCATCGTTGCACACCATGCGCGCAATGGCCAGATTTGGACATCCTGTTCAGCTGCTGCTTCCTGCCCGAGGCCGCCGAGCAGTTTTGCTGTTAAGCAGTTCAGTGGGGGAAGCCTTTGCGGGCTTGCTTTCCCAAAGCTGACATGTTTGTTTGACGATTGCAACCTCCAACGATGTTGCTTCAGTCAAAATGTGCCTTTCATTCCAGGTGCTTCAGACAAGTGAGGATAGGGGGGCTGCAATGAACAGTCCGTGGTTTGGGAATATAACGGTTGGAAAGGTCAAGTATGTTGCTCCCTTTGCCGATTTTATGGAGAGCTCACCGATTCGGGAGCTAAATTGATGTGGGGATCCCTTGGATGAAACCAGCTCGCCATGGATCAGGTCCTTTACTGCTGAGTCAAGGTTTTAGTAACAGCTGTTAATTATTTTGCCCTTTGCTGTTGACTGATCAACAACACATAGCAAACCAAATTGGAGTCTCAGGTTCAGGATTGAAGGTTGGCCCTGGCATAGTAAAACACATATTTGATCCTAGGTGTAGGAATTAAGGTTGCTCACAGGGTTCCAATTCGTATGTCAAAACGGTTTTGGGCGCCAGGGCGGACTGCCCCAAGACGTTGTGGCCTCGGTGCGCGTCAAGGAGGGGAAGGCTCAGCTCCCGGATTTGAAGGCTCAATCTAGGGTTGATATACTTAGGTAAAAGTGCCCCGGTTGTACTGGACGGGGAAATTCTTCAGGACACGGGCTCCACCTTCACGGCCTGGTGTCGTGGGTGCCTGGTGCTGAGCTTTGACAACACCTACAGCTGGGCAGCTGGGATGCAGTTCATGTTGACCCCGGACTAATAAACCCCTGTTTGTTAATATGGGGGTGTTCCCCTCCAACAGTGATAAATCCCCAGGGCGGGATTCTCCCGCACTTCCAGGCTGAGCCGGGACCAGGAGTTGGGAGGTGGGTTGAGGAGGGCTCAGGGTTGGTTTAGGAGTTGGGGTTGGTTTAGGGCCTGTGTCGGGTTCAAGCAAAATGGCAACAGAACCCAAGACATGCCCTCAAGGGCATAGGTTGGAATGTGGGGTCACTGCAAGGTGGTTCGAGAATGGGTTTAGATTAAGTTTAGATGAGGGGCTTAGGGTGGGACACTTGGTTTTAGGGTGGGCTGAGGCTGGGTTGAGGATGGGCTGTCTACACTTTTGGCAGACCCTGTCACTGTTGCAAAGCTGGTGTGAAAATCCTGGACTGCATGCTTGCAGGCCTGCTGGCTGATTTGCTTTCTTGGTTTCTTGCGGTCCTGCTTTCTTGCTCGCTTGCTTGCTTGGCTTGGTTCTTTGATCTTGCTCAGGAGGCAAACGGAAAACAGACACAAAACAGCAGGGTGCTCAAACACAGAGCCAAACTGGGCTCTGCTGTAAATGGGAAACCTGTCGTAGAACCTCCCCGCGTAAGATGAACCCCGAACAAGTTGAATGTCTCAAGCTTCATGTTAGCTCCCCATCTTGAAACAAACTTGGGTGTTCCCTTCTTAACCGGGTTGCACCGCTATTCGCCAATCATGATGTATTGATATGTCCTTATGTATTACGTGTTGGGCAAGAAGCTTGAGTTTTTGGCACGCCGGATTTGGGATCCAGCTCCTTTGTGGAGCGGCTCTTGTTTTGTACCGCAGCTGCTCTTTCTCATCGTGTAAAGGTAACGCTTTGCACTCGTGCAGACTTCTCTAACACAAGTTGTCCCATTCCGTTGAAGCAACAAATGAGACAATTGACCTCTACATTGCTGGCCTGAACGCTGGCCGTTTGGATGCTCGTGTTGCAGAAGGCTACTAGAAGGAAAGCCTCCACTGGAGTGTTGTACAAACAAACAAAACACAACATGGTGGTGTTCCTCTTGGCCTTCCTTGAATAACCATTTGGAGGGATGTCTGGCTCGACTCACCCGAGGTGAAGTCCAAAACCATCCGTTTTGAGCTGATGAAGATGCCAGAGGCCGGGGAGTCGGGAGGTGTGGACACTAAATTCAGCGGCGTTTGCTACTTTCCCTTTGTTAAAGCCTTGCTTGCTAAAGACCGAATTGCTTGGGGTCATCTAGCTGGTGGTTGGAGGGGGTCCAAAAACTGTGGTATCGTGGTTTGCTTTTAAAGAGGGAGCTGAGCAGCCAGAATTGCTGTAAGGACAGTACATGTGAAGCATGCGGCATGCCGCACAAGATGAACACACGAATATCAACATGCACCATGTGAAGATACACTTCAAGGATTCTGGTGGTTAGGTTATGTAGTTTTGTACTCGGAATTGTCACGAACCCCCCTGAGGATTGTCAGGGAGACATGACCCTGGCACCGCCAGGCCGAGGAGCCAATCGGCACGCCGGGCGCGAAGCCGATTGACGCGGAGACCGCAGAACCCACGGAGACGGAGACAGAGACCTCGGTAACCTCGGACTCGTCGCCTGAGCGAGAAGCCAAGTCCGAGGTCAGATCGGCACAGGAAGCCACGAGCGGCTAGCCGAGCGAAGTTCTGGTTGAAAGCTTTTTGGACATCTGATTTGGAGACAGCGTGGGGGCTTTCACATGTGAAAAGAATGACATGTCCCGAGGCTAGACGGAAGTTTCCGTAGCTCGGGGCTTGCGGAAGAATCCGAGTCGATTTCTGGGGCTCGAGCTTGGCCGCGGCCCATAGTTTCTCGCGGGACGTGCGTGTACAGACGCCAAGCGAAGAGAAATCCGGAGATGCAGCTTGCACAGTCCATCGGGCTCAATAGGTGTGGTAGCTTGTGCATGGCTTGGTTGCCAAGGCTGCAAGATGCCGGGTGGGCAGGTTGTAGGTTATGTTACCTGTCGTGCTGGCAAAGTTCGAGCTTTTCATCAGGTATCTCCTTCCTTGCTTTTTCACTTCGAGAAACAAGCATGGGGCTTCGGGCAAGCGAACCGATCAGTCCACAAGTTCTGCAGCGTCAGGAAGAGCTGGCGAAGAAGCGCTCTGAGCTGCCGAAATGCTCAGATTCCGCGGCGGTCCGGTCGCTTTTTCCCAGGGTTCCATAGGGGTCAGGGGAGGCGAGTCTGGGATAAGCCTGAGCCCTGAAGGCCCCAAGACGGGCCTTGATCAAGCGGCCTTTGTTGGCATGGCTAACGAGGCCATAAAACACAACTCAGGCTGTTTCCCCATCTCTTACTCACCGCAAGCCCGTTTCTGGAACCCGGTGACCGAGGCAGCAGCTGGAGGAACAACGGGAGCAGCAGCTCCGGCAGCAGGAGGAGGAGTCCAAGCTGCGGGAGATCCAGGCGCGCGAGGGCCGCCTTGTCGGGAGCACGCGCTGCATGTCACGCTGCGTTGAACAGGGACTCGAAGAGGGGGAGCCAATGCACAGGTTTTGTCGCAGGGTTGCAGCTCAGGTGTGTGCTAGAGCCGCACAAGTCCTTTCCCCATGGGTGATCAACCAGCACCAATGCTTTTCAGGGTGCATAGCTCTTGCTATGAGCTCCTGCGCTAAACCCAATGCGGTCCAAAAAAGTTTGTTTTCCTCGACACGTGCCTCTCAGAAAACCACGGGTCTTGGACCAACTCGATCCATCAGGCCGAGCAGGCAGCTCAAGAGGCAGCTCGACAAGCAGAGGACGCGGAAGATGCGGAAAGCCAGCCTTGTGTCAGCCCCGTACCTCAGAAAATTGGGGGGGCACCCTTCCGTAGACGAGACATCCCACCCAAAGAAGAGAAGGGTTGATTGATTTGGATTCCGCACAGTCTTCCAGCCCTTTAGGTCTCTTTTGGGTTTCCTTCCTTTCTATTTTCCTCAAAGAAGACGTTGCCCTTACCTTCCCCCCCCTTCCGCCAACAAAAGAACCTCCTGTTTTTGACCATAGCATGGGTGTGGCTTTTTTGGGGTGGACCCCCTGAATGATCAGCAGCACATGTGGGTCAAAGCCAACGGGATCCCATTTTGGTTGGTAGGTGAATTCACTCACCACCCATTTTAGTCCATAACATTTTGGGGATTGGGATGTTCACGGGTAATTTTAGAACCTATTTTAGTGGTTGGATTGGGATTCGGGGTGTTCACGGGTATGGGATCTTGGCCCAACATGGGTCTTCCTTGGGTCCCCTCCCTGGGTTTCCCGCCGAGCGCGGGGCTCAGCGCGGCCAGCGGCAGGAGGCGAGGCAGCGCCAGTCGGAGCTGGAGAAGAGGCAGGCGGAGATCCAGCAGCTGGAGGCCGGGAACGGCCGGGTGGGAGACAAACGGCCCAAACCAACCACCAAGCCATCCGAATTTGCTGCTGGTTGTTGGTTGTCGGTTGTTTATTTGTTGTTGTTGGTTGTTGGTTGTTTCCTTTTGATGTTTGGTGTTCAACCACCAAGCCATCCGAATTTGCTGTTGCTTGTTGGTTGCCGCATTCTTTTGGATGTTGTTGGTTGTTTATTATTGGTTATTGGCCATTTTAACCCTCAAAGCCGAACTCCCGCTTGAGGTGATTGGGGGGCGGTCTTTTCTTTCAGCGCCCTATTGGTGGACTGGTATGATTGTCCGGGCTACAAGGTTCATGGTAGTGGAGACTATCCGAATTTCTTTTTCGGGAAACAAAGCCCCGCACCAGGTGGTAGGGGTGTCTTTTTTTTCCGCGTTTTAACGGGTTTCATCCACCCAAGTGTCTTGAAATGGATTTTGTCCATCCAGCGATTCACCCCATGCAGGTTTCTAGAATCCGCTTGGCGTGAGTGAGAGAGAACTTGCAGGTTTCAGATCCGGCTTCAGAATTAGCTCAGCGTCCCTTGTCAGGGCATCGAAAAAGGAGATCCGATTTCGGTTGGTGTAGGTTGCAAACCGTCTTCGCCAACTACAGCAGCCAGTTACCGCTATCAGTAGATTTACGGTTGGTTGCACATGTTGGTTGAACAGCCCGGCCCTATCCGCCTGCAAATGAACAAAAGGAGGTGCTTGCAAAGAATGTCAGTTTAAACATGCTTTTGGGGCCCCCAATCCGTCTGTTTGTCAGACTGGGAAGAGAGCCGTGGAAAGACGGGTGAAGCCGTGACACACGGGAACCGTTGCGCCACATGAAGCAGAAGAATATGCAAATTGCATTTGCCAGACTTAGGATGCGACCATAGTGAACCTGGGTCTTCCAACATGTGCAAAATGATTGCTGTTTTGTCAAAAACTATGTCTTTTGACCCAACGGCGATTATTTTCGCCTGCCGGCAGTTTTCAGTGTTTGCACACTCTAGCATCAATCAAAATTGCAAAACGGCGTAATTTGCCGTCAAAACGGCGTAATTTGCCGGCAAAACGGCGTTTTTTTGCCTGGTTCCGAGCTGGACTCACGGCGAGCGCTTTTTCTCCGAAAGAGCGTTTTTTTCAGCAACCGGCGAAAATTATTGCGTTTTTGGGAAACGGCGTTAATTTTACATGTCGGAAGGTCCAGGAATCATAATGCGGTAAATTAGAGGGTTTTTTTGCTCCCTTGTTTACAGGGCATCCACCGCACCAGCAAAGCAGGCCACTCCCACAAGTTTGGCTCAAAGCGAATTGACATGCTCACCTTTCGAGCAGGTTGAACCGTTCTTGCCCTCAAGGTTGCGCAGTTTGGTCATGACATGTCATGACACTCCAGGAGGTCAGGAAAAAGTTTCAGGCCCTTTTGGTCACTGAACTCCGTCTTGGGTTCCAGCTGAGAATCGTGAAGGTTTTTCATTCCTCGAGTCAAGGGGCGATCAGGAAACCCATGCCGTTGGGTTTCAGCAACGAGCTCAAACGAGCTCGAATCCAATGGTGAAGATTTTCAGGATTCCTTTCTACGGATTGGCCGGTTTCGGGCACTTCAGAGGGTTGCACGCGGGATTTGCTTTGGTTAAGTGTGCCCGTGAATGCTTGCGCAAGTATGGGCATAAGGTGCTTCACTCTGCTTCTGGGCACCTTATTCTGGCCTGAACATCTTGCGCAACCAAACCGCCGTACCCACATGAGCTCCTTTTGACACAAGTTTGGTGCGCTCCCCCGGTGAATCAGCCTCTCTGGATGTTCCACCTGTCCGGCCCTGGTGGCTCCAGGAAGGTGCCGAAGAGCCTACGTGGGCACCTCCAAACGGGTCTTTAGGGTTTCTCTATTAGTGGAAGCCCATTTGGCGCAAGAGAACCCAGAAAACCTCCCATGGGGCGATTTTTCAGGCCCAGCAGGAGGAGGCTGCGCGCCCGAGTCCAAGCTGCTGGTCCTCAGTCGACATCCCTGTCGGTTCCCTTCTTGCATTTTGGGAATGGGGTTCATTCACAACAGATTTGAGATCGATTCTCGAAGGGCCCAAGGAGGAAGTTGCATGCAAAGCCAGCGACACGAGCTAGCGTGCACCGCTGAGATGTGTATTAGGGGGTGATTCCAGACATTCCAGGCTCAGTCTTCTTTTCAGTCGTTTTTGTTGCGAACGGTTTGATGCTGTCCCAGGTTTTGGTGCGATCTGAAAAGGATTCTAAGATCCCAGGAAGAATGTGGAAGGGCAATGGTACAAGCGCAGCTGCCACTACTGCCAGAGCTACATTGAACCACCTGGGTTGGTTTGTCAAAATTACCGCACCTCATGGTTTGGCTTCCTTTTGGTTTGCCACTTAAGGACCAACGGTGGGGGACCAACGGCGGGTCACCAAAAACCAGATGTAAAGCCAACCAAAGCAGGGGTGCTGAAAAATAACATAGCTGTGTGATTTGTGTGCTTGTGGGTTGTGTCGTGTGTTCTGTTGTGTTTGTGTGTTTTTGTTTCTTTTTATTTCTTTGTTTCTTTGCTTCGTTGTATTTATTAGTTGTTTCTGTTATTTACATGTGTTTGTTTGTGTTTGTGTGCTTGTGTTTGTGTGTCTCTGTGTCTCCGTGTCTCGGTGTCTCTGTATCTTTGTGTCTTTGTGTCTTTGTGTCCATGTGTCTCTGTGTCTCCTGTCTCTGTGTCTCTGTGTCTCTGTGTCTCTGTGTCTCTGAGTCTCTGAGTCTCTGTGTCTCTGTGTCTCTGTGTCAGTGTTTGTGTGTGTGTGTGTTGTGGTTTTTGTGCTTGTGTTCGTTAGTTAGTTTGTTTGTTTGTTGGTGCGCGTGTGCGCGTGTCTGTTTTTGAGGGTCCCCTAGGTTGCAAAGGACACCGTGCCTTGACTCAGGACAGCGCTGGGAGGAGGAGAGCCAGTGGCGCGGTTTTGGCGTGCGTGGTCTGTCTTGCGGAACCTCCTTTTTGGCAAAATGGTCAAATTAAATGGGGTTTGCCCCACAAAAACGGCAGAGAGAGAATGCGGCTCTGAAATTTGAAGGGCCCCTCCTCAGAAAGTGCTGAGGATTCGCATTGATGTCCAGAGTCCAGAAGGTCCCCAATTCAAGTTGGTACCCATATGCGCGCGCTTTCCCATTTCCAAGGCCAGAGTCCCATAGGTTTGACAAGGGAGCGCGCACTCTGCCATGAAGCCTGGATTGGGGAGAGGTCGGTGGCCCTGGAATGGCATGAAATGGAGCTTGCGTGGCCACATAGAAGCTTCTTTGCATTACC